CGATTGAACTGTCGGGCCGCCGCGTTGGCTTGGGTCGAAGCAGGGCGGGCGTTGCGGCTTGAGTGGCATTGGGGCCATCATGGCGTTTTCACCACTTGTCGTCGCAAACTCCACGTGCCGACGGGCTTCTCGGGGCTCCCGTGGGCTTAGCGTGCTCCTGTTCCCTCCCATGCCGGGCATCGGTTGGGCTGCGCCGTCACTGGCTGCGCCTGAGCGCTGTCCCGTGCTGTTGTGTTGCGTTGGTGTGCCGGATGAAATGATAATCGGCTCCTCCGAATGTACAGAGACATTGGTTGGTGCGTGGGATGTTGTCGGAGCATTCACCGTTGACTGTTGACGAGCGGAGTCACGTTCCGCCGTGAGCGTCGCGATTTCAAGCGCCGAATCCTTCAATTGTCGCACGAGACGATCGAGTTGCTCCTGCGTCAACGTGGCGAGATTGAGGTCGGCCATGGCGGGGGTGTCGGGCAAGCTCAGCGAGAGCCTCGGTCGTGGCCGTGCGTGCTTGCGAGAGAGCACTACGAGCGGCGGTGCTGTGTCGCTGAGAGACGTCTACCCCCCCCAAAAATTGAGATAGTGGGAAGCGAAGGTGTGGATGCGGTCCGAGATGAGATCGTAGGCTCTAATACCAAGTGTTACGAGTGCAATTGAGTGAACGAACGAGAATTGCACTATCGAAGCAAAGAGTACAATGAGCGAAGGCATGAGCGAAGGATTATATAGCGAAACAATAGTGGTAACGGTAATGGACTGTGGTTGTCGCGCGACGAGCCTGGGGCTGAGGTTGGGAAAGTGTCGAAGCGTAGGCCCGGAGCGCGGGTTACCAGCCGAGCCGTGAGGTCGGGATGCGATGTGCGAAGAGGGCGGGATAATGAATGATGCGATGGTCGTGAGTGGTAACGGTGCTGACTGAGGTGCTACAGTGGCGTACGCGTTGAGCAGGGACGCGAAGTAAGGAAAAGGGAATTTCCTTACAGTTGTATGAAAGAAGAGTGCGCAGAATTCAATATCGCGGAAGTGATTACAACTACTGAGAGCACAACGAGGCCTAGGACTAATATAGCGAGGCTAGCTGGGCTGAGGTTGTAGGGTCGCAGGATGGCTGGGTGCAGGTCCGGGGTTGTGAAACCCGAAAGCGACGCGATAGTGGTTCCGAAGGCGAGGTCGTCGGACCGAGCCTGGTTTTCCGAAAAGTCAGGTTTGTACGCGTACAGTGTGACCCATTAAGGAATCCGAAAAATTCCTTACACTACCCCCCCCCTTAAGAAAGGTGGTGAATGTCGGAGACACCACGGCGGGTCAGGTAAGCATCCACAATCGGATGTCCTAGGAGCGAGTCAGCAGGGACATACGCCTCATCCTCGCCCGTGCGGTCCTTCCAACGAAGCAGGAATTTCACGGAGCGGCCGGCGGTGGTCACGTCCACGCGGTGGTTCAGAATTTTCCAGGGTTCCAGCGTGGGCTCCGCCACAGGGCGTGTTGTCGGCGCGAGCGTTGGCCGAGCGACAGTTGGCGACTACGGGGGCTCATAATGACGCAGAAGGCTGACGTCAGGGCCCAAAATTGGTTTAGGCCTACCCTTACGAATCAGGGTAACAGCCCCTCCTTAACCAGACCCCTAGGGTAAAACATTTCATACCCTGTTTTCAGCAGGGTAAATGTACCACTAGCCTGATTTGAGCAGGGTAGTTTTAGGCTAAGCCTGTTTTTGTATCTATTTTGTGAGTTAGCTTATTTTTAATGATATACACAAGTAGCACATTCAGAGTCTATGAAGTCAACACACGCAACTGGCCGTTTCTTCCACGGGGCGGGCCCTGTCAGAATCCCAACCACTAGACCATTGGGATAAAAGGGCTTGTTTCAATAGCGGGTCAGTGCGCCCATAACCCCCCAGGCAAACGCGCCTGTAACCCTCTCCAGGATCGATCGGGCATCCACAGTGCAGATCTACTGACACCCCCCCACACTGGGAGGCCCAGGACTAAGCACAGCGGCACCGGCCTACATGTGCATACACCGGGAATCGAACCCGAGACCGCTCTGATACCATGTCAGAATCCCAACCACTAGACCATTGGGATAAAAGGGCTTGTTTCAATAGCGGGTCAGTGCGCCCATAACCCCCCAGGCAAACGCGCCTGTAACCCTCTCCAGGATCGATCGGGCATCCACAGTGCATATCTACTGACAGGCCCTGTTATGGCCAGCAAGGCAGCACTGAGGCTGCAAGTTGCTGTTAAGGACAGCTTGAAGCTGTCATTGAGAGCCAATTCTGCTGTGATGGCGGTGGGCGTGGCGATAAGTGACGAGGAGGAATAATTGTTGGCAGTCCTGCGGCAGAAACAACCAATGAGGATTCTTGGCGTGCTGCCAACTACGATGCAAGTTTCCATGCGCGTGGGCACGAGCGACAACGGGTGTTTGTGGAGGTGTTGTACGTTTTGTCGCCACCACGCGGACTATGGTCTGATTCGCGTTAGAAAAGATTCGGTAACAGGGTAGTGTACACCAAACCCTGATTCCGCCAAGGTAAGCTAAAAACCTAGCAGGGTAAAATAAAACATGCTCTTTTAAGAGAAGGGTAACTATTTCGCAATCCTGATTTCAGCAGGGTAATCCTGAAAAAGCGGCCGGCCCCCAGGGTAATCAAGGTGTTTTACCCTGATATTTAGGGCCCTGGCTGATGTGGAAGGCGTCATGGATTTTCCAGTCGTCGGGCAACAGCAGCTTGGCGGTGACAGGTGTCACCATCTGGACGATACGAAACGGTCCTACGAACCGGGGTCGTAATTTGGCGGGCTGCGGCAGCCGGAGGTTTCTGGTGTCCAGAAGTACAACTTGCCCCGTGCGGAAGGGTAAATTGCGTCGGTGTCGATCCGCTTGGCGACTGGCTGTGGTATTAGCCCTGCGAATGAAATCAGCTGCTCTCGTGCGTGCAGTTTGCAGTTCCGTGACAAACTGCTGCGAGCGTGGTACCGGGTTGTCCACGGTCGTCGACGAGGGTACCACAGGATCTATCCCGTAATTCAGGAAGAAGGGCGATTGCTGAGTCGTGGTCGACGGGGCGTTATTGTACGCAAACTCCAGCATCGGTAGTGAATCCTCCCATTTACGAATGTCGGGGCAGTTGGTGCGAATCAGTTGCTCCATGGTCTGATTGGTCCGCTCCGTCTGTCCGTCGGTTTGTGGGTGGTATGACGACGAAAACTGTAGGCGGGTACCATACTGTGCCCACGTCTCCTGCCAGAACTTCGACGTGAATTTTGGGTCACGATCGCTAATGATCGCCGAAGGTAACCCGTGTAAACGGACGACGGTGGAGATGAACAGCTTGGCAGTGTCTTCGGCTGTGATCGTTGTTCGGCAAGGGGCGAAATGTGCCATTTTCGTTAGGCGATCTACGACGACCAAAACCGAGTCGTTGCCACTTGTGCCAGCTGGAAGGCCTGTGACGAAATCCATCGTCACTTATTGCCACGGTCGCTCGGGTGGCGCGAGGGGTTGTAAGAGTCCGGCGGGCCGTTGTCGCGACGACTTCATTGCTTGGCAGGTTGGGCAAGTGGACACGTAGCGTTGTACATCAGTTTGCATGTCCGGCCAGTAATAATTCCGCTGCAGCAACTTCAGTGTTTTGTCGATGCCGAAGTGCCCCGAAAGGTTGGAGTCGTGGACTTCTTGCGTCAGCAGTTCTCGTAAAGGTCGATATGCCGGTACCCAAATCCGGTTCGTTCCGGCTTTTAGGTAGTACTTGCCGTGTAGTGTGGCATGTCAGATTTATATGACATAGTTGCTGTAGGCTATAGTGGGGTAGCACATATGGGGTACAGGGTTTCTAGGGTTGTATTTGTACCCAATCTTTCCTTAGTCATTTCATTCCTGTTTTCCTTACTTCACATGGTATAGAGCGGGTCCTGCCTTAGGACCGTTTTTTTTTTGGGCCCACCGAAGCGCGCCCCGAGGCGCGCCTTTTTTTAGCGACCCCCTCGGGTCGCCTTTTCCCTCGCGGCCCCGCTGTCCCTCAGACGCGGCCCCGCCACCTCTCCTGATCGCGGCCCCGCCGCCTGTTTGACGCGGCCCCGCCGCCTCCCCTGACGCGGCCCCGCCGCCTCCCCTGACGCGGCCCCGCCGCCTCCCCTGACGCGGCTCCGCCGCCTCCCCTGACGCGGCCCCGCCGCCTGTTTGACGCGGCCCCGCCGCCTCCCCTGACGCGGCCCCGCCGCCTCCCCTGACGCGGCTCCGCCGCCTCCCCTGACGCGGCCCCGCCGCCTCCCCTGACGCGGCCCTGCCGCCTCCCCTGACGCGGCTCCCCCGCCTCCCCTGACGCGGCACCGCCGCCTCCCCTGACGCGGCTCCGCCGCCTCCCCTGACGCGGCCCTGCCGCCTCCCCTGACGCGGCTCCGCCGCCTCCCCTCCCGGCCCGCCGCTGCTCCTGCCGGCCCGCCACTGCACCTGCCGGCCCGCCGCTGCACCCAGCGGCCCGCCGCCTCTGACGGCCTCGCCGCTGCACCTGCCGGCCTCGCCGCTGCACCTGCCGGCCCGCCACTGCACCCTACGGCCCGCCACTGCACCCTACGGCCCGCCGCCTGCACCTGCCGGCCCGCCGCTGCACCTGCCGGCCCGCCGCTGCACCTGCCGGCCCGCCACTGCACCGGTCAACCCGCCGCTGCACCTGACGGCCCCGCCCCTGCATCTCCTGGCCGAGCCGCCCGTGAGCCGAGCCGCCCGACGCCGAGCCGCCCGGGACCCGAGCCGCCCTGCCGCCGAGCCGCCCGGGAGCCGAGCCGCCCTGCACCCGAGCCGCCCAGCCGCCGAGCCGCCCGGGAGCCGAGCCGCCCTGCGCCCGAGCCGCCCAGCAGCCGAGCCGCCCAGCACCCGAGCCGCCAGGTCGCTGAGCCGCCTTTCTGCATACCTACACGACCTGCCCTGCCTGGTGAGCACAGTCCCACTGACATTGCGAGCTCTTTCCCTGCTGCTTGCACTGCGTCGCTGTCGTCGCCATGGCTACCCCTAGTGTCCTGGCTTTTGACGCTGAGGGTCGCGCCATTGATTTTGAGGTCTGGTTAGACGACCTGCAGCTGTTCTTACAGTGCGACAGGGCTGACGACCTTTCTCTTTTTGATCTCACCTCTGGCGCCTCTCCTGCTCCTGCTGCTGATGCTGATCCCGCTGTCCGCTCTAAGTGGGCCACCCGCGATGCTGCTGCACGTCTTGCTGTGCGTCGCCACCTCCCTACCTCTGAGCGTGCGCACTTCAGTCAGTACAAGAGTGCTCAGACCTTGTACGACGCTGTAGTTGCGCGCTACTCCTCCCCTGCCACTGCTGCGCTGAGCCGTCTCATGCTTCCCTACCTCTTTCCTGACCTCTCTGCCTTTCCCACTGTCGCTGACCTCATTACGCACCTCCGCACTAGTGACACTCGCTACCGCGCCGCCCTTCCTGCTGAGTTCTGCGCTAAGAACCCCCCCCCCATGTACATCGCTCTCTACTACGTAGTCGCGCGCCTCCCTGACTCCCTTCGAGTCGTCAGGGACCACTTTCTCGCAGTCTGTCCCACCACCCTCACCGTCGACCTCCTCGAGAAGGCCCTTCTCTCAGCGGAGAAGAGCATAGTCGCTGTAGGTGCTTCTCGTGGTGACCCTCGCACCCCCATCTTTGAGGGGTGCTCTCCTTCCCCCTTGCTGCCCTCTGTTGCCTCTGCTGCTGCTGCCGACCTGCTTGGTCTTGAGTCGGTCCGCGCGGCGTCTGCCCCTAGTGGGAGACGTCGCTCCAGCAAGGGCAAGGGGGGCAAGGGCGCGGGTGGAGCTGGAGGGGGCGGTGGCGGTGGCGGCGGTGGCGGCGGAGGGAGTGGGGGTGGCGGCGGGACTAGTGGCGGGGGTGGTGGTGGTGGTGGCAGCAGCGGCGGAGACGGTGGTGGTGGTGCCAGCGGTGGTGGTGGAGGCAGCGGCGGAGGTGGAGGCGGCGGAGGTGGAGGCGGTGGAGGCGGCAGCGGAGGAGGCAGTAGTGGTGGAGGGGGTGGAGCTGGTCGGGGTGGTACCCAGCAGCGTAGCGGCGGTGGTGGTGGCCAGCGCTCGCAGCGGCAGCAGCAGCAGCGCTCACGGGACATCCCTTCGCCTCAGCAGCTTCGTGAATGGTACGCTGGGCGTCTGAGGGGTGGGGGTACTGGTCCCTGCACCTACGTTCTTCGTTCCGGCGACCGCGCGGGTGAGCAGTGTGGGGGTGCCCACGCCACCCAGCGCTGCTTTGGCCGCCTGACGAACGCCTGGCGTCAGCAGTTCCCTGGGGCTAGTGAGATCCCTCGCTGGGATGAGCTTCTCGGGGCTGGTGTAGCGATCTTTGATCGTGATTTTGATGCTATCCTTACTGCTATGTATGTTGTGGATTATAGTGAGGAGAATGAGGGTTACCGCTGTTTCCAGCCCGACCCGGGCATTGGTACTGCTGCGCTAGGTGCTTGTGAGGCTGCTACTCTAGGTGCCAGTGCGTCTGCGCTCTCAGGTACTGGTGAGACTGCGCTCTCAGGTACTGAGTCGTCCTCGTCCTCCCTCACTTTCACACTTGACTCCGGAGCTTCTCGCTCCTTCTTTCGAGACCGCACTACCCTTACGCCGCTCGGCCGGCCGGTTGCAGTCTCCCTTGCTGACCCCTCTGGGGGTCCTGTCCTGTCTCACTTCTCCACTGTCCTCCCGTGTCCGGCTGCCCCTTCGGGCACCCTGTCGGGTCTGTACCTTCCCTCGTTCTCTACGAACTTGGTGAGTGGAGCGGACCTGCAGGATGTGGGTGTTCACCAGTTCACTCCTGCGAGTCAGCGGGTGACCCACTGCACGGAGGCACGCACAGGCCGACACCTGGCCACGTTCTCGCGTCGGCCGGGGTCGAGTCTCTACACCCTGACCGTTGAGTCTCCTCCTGTCCCTGCGTCTGGTCAGGTGGCTGCGTCGGGTCAGGTACTTGCTGCTGCGTCCCGGTCAGGTCCTGAGTCTGCCCCCTGTTTTTGTCGCCTCCTGTCTCACGAGACTCTCCTGTGGCACCACCGTCTTGGCCACCCCTCCTTGCCCCGTCTTCGGAGCATGGCTTCCCGTGTCCTTGTCTCTGGTCTTCCCCAGTCTCTCCCTCCTCTCCCCTCCGGGCCAGGACCTTCCTGTGTCCCCTGTATCGAGGGTCGCCTCCGGGCTACTCCTCACTCCTCCCACTTCCCCCCGACAGAGGCTCCCCTGCAGACGCTTCACATGGATGTGTGGGGCCCAGCCCCCGTCCGTGGGCAGGGTTACGAGCGCTACTTCCTGTTGGTGGTTGACGACTACTCGCGTTACACCACAGTCCTCCCCTTGCGCAGCAAGGGTGCGGTCACTGAGGTGCTGATCGACTGGATCCGCGAGGCTCGTCTCCAGCTCAGGAAGAGCTTCGGCTCGGACTTTCCTGTTCTGCGTCTGCACTCTGACAGAGGCAGAGAGTTCTCTTCTCGCCTTCTGCGAGACTACTGTCGTACACGGGGGATCCGTCAGACCTTCACGCTTCCGGACTCACCACAGCAAAATGGGATTGCTGAGCGCCGCATTGGCATGGTCATGGATGTCGCTCGTACGTCCATGATGCATGCGGCTGCCCCCCATTTTCTGTGGCCGTTTGCGGTGAGGTACGCGGCGCATCAGCTCAACCTTCACCCCCGGGTCTCTCGGCCTGCGATGTCCCCAGCCTTACTGTGGACGGGGAAGGTTGGCGATGCGTCTGTGTTCCGTGTCTGGGGATCTCGGGCGTTTGTCCACGACTTGTCTGCGGACAAGCTGTCCCCTCGTGCTGCTCCCTGTGTCTTCCTTGGCTTCCCCACTGACGCCCCAGGGTGGCAGTTTTACCACCCCTCCTCTTGTCGTGTTTTGTCCTCCCAGGACGTCACGTTCGACGAGTCAGTCCCCTTCTACCGTCTCTTCCCCTACCGCACTCCTTCCCTCCCCCCTCCCCCGGACTTCCTTGTGCCGGTTCCCCCCCCGGTAGACCCCCTCCCCCCTCAGGTTCCTGCCCCCTCAGGTGTGTCCCAGGTAGACGCCGTTGACCCGGTCGAGGTTACTGGTGACTCTAGTGCTGCTGCGGGTGCTGAGCCTGGGGGTGCTGACTCTGGGGGTGCTGTGCGCGGGAGTGCTGAGCCTGGGGGTGCTACTGCTGGGGGTGCTGGGCCTGAGGGTGCTACTGCGAAGGGTGCGGAGCCTGGGGGTGCTGAGCCGGGGGGTGCTGTGCCTGGAGGTGCTGGGTCTGGGGGTGCTGGGTCGGGAGCTGCTGAGCGTGGGGGTGCTGCGTCTGGAGCTGCTGAGCCTGGGGTTTCTCCTGCTGCTGCGTCTCGCCGGGAGCCCCTCTCTCCACAGGAGCTGCGCGAGTGGTTCGCTCGCCGCTGGAGGCGTGCTGCTGCGTCTGGAGGTGCTGCTGGAGCTGGAGCTGGAGCTTCTTCGACCGTCGAGGGTGCGGGTGCTGCCGGTCCCGGAGCTGCTGGACCTGCGGGTCCTCCTGGAGCTGGAGCTGCTGAGGGCGTTGGTGCTGAGCCTACTGCTGTTAGTCCTGCCGCTGGAGGTGTGGGTGGCGCTGGTGCTGTCGCTGAGGGTGGTGGTGCTGTCTCTGCTGAGTCAGGAGCTGCCGCGCGGCCTCGGCCGTACTTCGTTCCACTCCTGCAGCAGGTTCTTGGTCTTTCTCCTCTAGTAGAGGGTCCACCGCCTATCCAGTCGCAGTCCCTGCTGGAGCTTTCCTCTCCACTGCCTGCTCCCTCTCCTTACACTGGTCCTACTGGAGGTCTTGCTGAGCGTCGTGAGCCTGCGTCTTGTCCCGCGTCGCCTGTTCGTGCTGCTCGCACTAGTGGTCGCAGTTCGCGTCAGCGTCCTCCTCCTGTCCCTGGCACGCACCGGATGTCTTTGCGTCCGTCCACTGCTCCTCTGCGTGCCCCTTTGCCTTCTCCTCCTGAGTCCTCTCTTCCTGTGCTTGCCGACCCTGAGTCGGACTCTCTTCGTGCTGCCAGTCCTACTGTTACGCGTCTCCTTGCTACTGTTGTCACTGACCCCTCGTTTGAGTCCACTGCTGCGTCTGCCCTTGTCGCTGAGCTCGTCGACTTTGCTGCTCGCTGTCGTTTCGACTACGCTGCTAGTCTTGTTGCTGAGTCTGCGTCTGTCTGTCCTCCGTCCGTCGGGGGTGAGTGTGCTCTTGGCACGGACGTCCTAGAGGACAGGCAGGAGGAGTTACAGTGTCTAGCGGCTGCTTCACCTCATCTCGCGTCTGTACTGCTTGCCCCTGAGGGAGACCCGGATGCACTAGACATCCCGACTCCGCGTTCTTACGCGGAGGCCGTAGAGGGTCCCTACTCCTCTCAGTGGCAGGCAGCTATGGATGCAGAGATGGCTTCCTGGAAGTCCACAGGCACCTACGTTGACGCGGTTCCCCCTCCTGGGGCGAACATCGTCAGTGGCATGTGGATCTTCAGGGTGAAGCGGCCGCCGGGCTCTCCACCTGTCTTCAAGGCACGGTACGTTGCTCGTGGCTTCAGTCAGCGGTAGGGAGTTGACTACTTTCAGACCTTCTCTCCCACCCCGAAGATGACTACTCTTCGGGTTCTGCTGCACATAGCCGCTCAGCGCGACTACGAGCTTCACTCTCTCGACTTCAGCACTGCGTTCTTGCAGGGTAGCCTGCACGAGGAGATCTGGCTTCGCCGTCCACCTGGCTTCACTGGGACTTTCCCTCCTGGCACCCAGTGGAGCCTCCGACGGCCAGTCTACGGTCTCCGCCAGGCACCGCGTGAGTGGCACGACACACTGAGGACTACGCTTGCGGCCCTTGGGTTTGCTCCTTCTACTGCTGACCCGTCGCTGTTTCTTCGCACCGACACTTCCCTGCCGCCGTTCTACATCCTCGTGTACGTCGACGACTTGGTCTTTGCCACAGCGGACACTGCTGGACTCGCCTACGTGAAGTCCGAGCTGCTGAAGAGACACACGTGCACAGACCTGGGTGAACTGCGCAGCTACCTTGGCTTGCAGATCACTCGGGACAGAGCACGCCGCACCATTACCTTGACTCAGTCACACATGGTGCAGCAGGTCCTTCAGCGCTTCGGCTTCACGTACTCCTCGCCTCAGGCCACTCCTCTGCCTACTCGCCACTCACTCTCAGCTCTGCCCTCGGATGAGTCCGTAGAGTCGAGTGGTCCGTATGCAGAGCTTGTTGGCTGCCTCATGTACCTGATGACCTGCACACGACCTGACCTTGCATACCCTCTGAGCATTCTTGCACGCTATGTTGCTCCTGGGAGACACAGACCGGAGCACATGGCTGCAGCGAAGAGGGTATTGCGCTACCTGTGCAGTACGTCGGGCATGGGGCTAGTGCTTGGAGGGCGGAGTCCAGTGGTCCTTACTGGCCACGCGGACGCTTCTTGGGCTGACGACCAGGCTACGCAACGGTCGTCACAGGGTTACACCTTCAGCCTTGGTTCCGGCTCTGTCTCGTGGCGGTCTACTCGCTCGTCTTCGGTTCTCGGCTCCAGTTGTGAGGCTGAGATCTACGCCGGGGCCATGGCTGCACAGGAGCTTCGCTGGCTCACCTACCTGCTGACTGACCTTGGAGAGCCGCCTCGTTCTCCTCCAGTGCTGTACGTAGACAACAAGGCCATGCTGGCCTTGTGTCGAGAGCAGCGCTTGGAGCACAGAACGAAGCACATTGCTCTCCGCTACTTCCTTGCTCGTGAGCTGCAGCAGCGTGGTCAGTTGCGACTTGCGTACGTGGCCTCTGAGGCCAACACTGCTGATGTGTTCACCAAGGCACTCGCGCCTTGTGACCATCAGCGCTTTTGCACCCAGCTGGGTCTTGTGCCTGTCTTGCCTCACTTGCTCTCCTCTTGACTTCACTTGTACTGTGACATATATATATGCCTGCTCTTGCTTGTCTAGTTTTATATATATGTCTGTACTCCTGCATGTGAACTGGCCTCTGGCCCTACTCTTGTGCTCGGACTGTGTGGTGACTTTGTGATCCACCCTGAGCTTGCTTTGCTTTGCTTGACTGGTCTTGTGACCCCTTGTTCTCCCCCACTTTGCCTATGGGGGTGTGTCAGATTTATATGACATAGTTGCTGTAGGCTATAGTGGGGTAGCACATATGGGGTACAGGGTTTCTAGGGTTGTATTTGTACCCAATCTTTCCTTAGTCATTTCATTCCTGTTTTCCTTACTTCACATGGCAGCCTGTTGTTGCGGGTTCCGGAAAAATCGGTCGGTTTTGTAGCCGTGGGTGAATAGTCCTGTCAGTATCGGGTTGGTGTGGGCGATTAGTACTGCTGCGTTTTGCATGGATGGTCTGGTGAGGGCGTCGGCGATGTTGTTGGCGCCTTTCTTGTACGTGATGGTGTACCGAAAATTGGACTCGAGAAAGTCCAACCACCGGATTTGTCGTGGGTTCAGCGCCGGTTGCGTTCGCAGGTACTGTAGCGATTTATGGTCGGTCCGAATCGTCACGTCGGCTCCCGTGAGGTAACAGCGCCAGGTACGAAATGCGTGGACGATGGCCAGCATTTCTTTGTCGTGGATTGGGTAGTTGCGCTCGGGTGGCTGCATTTTGCGTCATTCGTACGCGATGGGTTGCAGCCCTTGGCCGAAATCCGGTAAGAGGACGGCGCCGATGGCGAAATCGTTGGCGTCCGTGACGACTTCGAACGGTCGAGATGGGTCGGCGAGGCGGAGGACGGGGGGTGAGCCCAAAATGTTTTTGAGAGCGTCGAAGGCGGACTGTTCCCTCTCCCCCCACGTGAAAATACTGTCGCGGTGTAGCAGATCGGTCAGAGGCTTGGTTATCCCTGCCATATTAGGGACAAAACGACGAACGTGGTTAACAAACCCCAGGAAACTTTGCAGCTCAGGGATATTAGTAGGCGGTGTCCACTTAAGAATTGCGTCCACCTTACGCGGGCCGATTTTGATTCCGTCGCCAGAAACCACATGCCCCAGGAACTCCAGTTCTGGCTTTAGGAACTCGCACTTAGACCCCTTCGTAATCAGCCGATGTTCCTGCAACCGCCGTAATACCTCCTCCAAATCCCGCAGGTGTTCCTCTTTAGTCGCGCTATACACCAGGATGCCGTCCAGATACACGATGACTTTCTTATCCAGCATATCCCGGAAAATTCCGTTCATGGTGAGCTGGAAGGTCGAGGGCGCGTTTGTGAGTCCGAACGGCATCACTGTAAATTCGTAGCTGCCGTAACGTGTGCGGAAAGCCGTTTTCGGGCATCGTCGGCGAACACGCGAATCTGGTGGTAGCCACCTCGCAAATCGATTTTCGAGAAGAACCGAGCCCCGCGAAGTTGGTCCAGCAGGTCGTCGGTTCGTGGGATCGGGTAACGCGACTTAATTGTGACCCGATTCAGCGCTCGATAGTCGATGCACATGCGCAGGCCTCCGTCCTTCTTCGGCGTGAATAGTATCGGGGCGGCGTACGGTGACGTGCTTGCCCGGATAAATCCCTTGGCGAGCAGGTAATCCAGCTGGGTCCGCAACTCGGCGAGCTCCGGTTGGCTGAGCCGCCACTGTGTCCGAACAGTTGGTTGCGCTCCAGGTTCGAGCTGGATCCGATGGTCCTCAGGTCGTTGGGGGGACAGGCCATCCGGAAGATCATCCGCGAAAATTTCGGGATATTTCCGAATAATGCTCGCCAATTCCACAGGGACTGCTGCGCAGAGGGTGTCGATGTCCGCGATTTTGTCGGAAGCTTTCACCTCGTACAGGTGTACCAAGAAGGCTTGAGCTCCACCATTCATCGCTCGCGCCATGTTGAGCGCGTTGACACGTGTCGTCACCGGCTCCGGTTCCGTCCATTTTGGAAGCGTCGTTTTTCCTCCATATGCTCGCACGACGCACGGCCCAGTCGTCCAGTCGATCGTCGGATTAAATCGTTGCAGCCAATCTCGCCCCTATAGCACATCACAGCCATCCAACGTCGTCGCCAACATCTTCATGCCAAACCCGAATTTTTCGCCACATTTGATCCGAATTCTTCGCGCTTCATCTCGGATGGCCAGTGGTGTCCCATCCACTAGCCTTGCATCGATCTCCGGCAGACACCTCGTCAGCTTCACCCCAATTTTTTTGGCCGTTGCCAGGTTGACGAGACTGTGGCTCGCCCCTCCGTCAACGAATATTTTAATTTTATAACCGTTAACCCTCCCCACAACCAGCACAGGGTAGTCCACGTGTTCACCCACGTTATTCGTCCGGTTCTGGTCGATAGCTCTGATCGGTACCACGACCCGGTGTGGATGGTGATTGTCGGGCGACAGGGTCACGTTAGTAGGTGGCCCTTCTGCTACTGACTCAAATCTTTTCCCGACCCTTCTCCGTCGTTCTTCTTCCCCTGCTTAAGCCTCGGGCAGTCTTTTTTCAGGTGGCCCAGCCGGTTGCATAAAAAGCACGGCCCAAGGGCTCGGCTTGGCGCATCCACGCCGTTGATCGTGGGCTGCTGGGTCGATCCACGAAATCGAGGCCCTTCCCGGGGGCTCAATCTCGCCCACTGCATTAGTGCATCCGTTGACTCGGCTTCTCGAACGGCGTCGTTGAAGCTTCGTGGCCGGGTTCGTCGGAATTCATACTGGATTTCATATTTTAAACCTGCCACGTAGCGATCCAACCGTTCCGCATCGCTCATATCATACACTTGATCCGCCAAGTTGCAGAATACACTGGTGTAGTCTTGGACAGAAGCCAGCTGCTTCCAGGCACGCAGCTTCATGCGAGCAGAATCCGAGGCGGATATATGCTCGAATCTGGTTCGCAAGGCGGCGCCCCACTCCCTCCATGTGCGTATCGTGGCCGTCCCAAAAATCGATGCTGCCTGGTGCGTGACAGGTGTTGAAGTCCCGTCGTTCGCACGTGCTGCTCCTGCCGAAGTCCCTTCGTGCTGCAGCGTTCGCCTCCACCATTCTAGCGCAGGTCCTCGCAATAGTGAAACTGCGAAATTAATGCGGGTGGCATCGTCATTAATCATGGCAGCATTAAAAAACACCTCCACGCCGAACAACCATGCAGAAACAGTGACGAACTTGTCACTTGGGTTGAACGGGGGCGGGTTCGTCGGCTTGATTTTAACAAAAGCCGTTGTTGCCATCGGGGCCGTTGGTACTGCTGTCTGCGTCGCCGTCGTCGTGGCTGCTGCATGTGTCGGTGCTGCACGCAACTGTTGCGGCTGTACCTGGCTCGCCTCATCCGCATCCATCTCGCCTTCCAGCTTGCTCCAGACCCGCTCATCTGGTGCAGTGCTGCTACTTGCGTCGTCCACAACAGGCGACTCCCGGCGCGCTTCACCGCGCGCCTGGTGTAGTTCGGCGTTTTCAGCCCTCAGGCGCTCCAACTCGTCAGACATAGTCTGCATGTTGGTCTGCATCGCCCGAAACTGTTGCATGAGCTCGTTGAACTCCGCCTGGTCCATATGTCGCAGGCTTCGTCTAACGGGCAGGGGGTGACTAGCGATTTTTCTGACCTTGGTGAAGGCGTTAATGCTATCGTAGTCGGAGTGGAATAATCGGATCTATTCCACGGGCCGACCGCTTAACAGCCCACCAAGTCTATCGCTCCCCTTCTACAAACTACCCCGGAAACGCGAGGGTAACCTAGGAAAGTAGCTCTGATACCAGGTGTTATGGGTTGTATGAAAGAAGAGTGCGCAGAATTCAATATCGCGGAAGTGATTACAACTACTGAGAGCACAACGAGGCCTAGGACTAATATAGCGAGGCTAGCTGGGCCGAGGTTGTAGGGTCGCAGGATGGCTGGGTGCAGGTCCGGGGTTGTGAAACCCGAAAGCGACGCGATAGTGGTTCGGAAGGCGAGGTCATCGGACCGAGCCTGGTTTTCCGAAAAGTCAGGTTTGTACGCGTACAGAGTGACCCAGTAAGGAATCCGAAAAATTCCTTACAGAATAACTCTCCTCTTCTAAAGCACTACAGTTTTGATATGCATTGTGAAATAAAAAATGCACCTTACAGAGTCATTCATGCTATCTACTAACTACTGATCTAGCCAGTGGCACCTTCATTCATTGCTGTCGCACCAAAAGCTGCCAGATCTTGCAGCTCCGTCACATTTCTAGACGCTGAAACAGAGCGAGCAAGACCTAGAAAATCCCTCGTCACAGTCCCAAAGGCTCCAAGATCATGGCCGCCTTGCTGCGCCCTTTGCAAGGCAGCAGTCAGTGAGTCAGTGTTAAGACCTGCACTCTGCAGGAGCTGCTGTTGCTGCTGCAGCTGTGGTGGCTGCTGCTGCTGCTTGAACTGCTGTTGTTGCTGTTGCTGCCTTGCCATAAGCATATTCTGCAAAGCTGAGGGCATGTCACCTCCAGCACCGAGCAACCCCCCAGTGCCATCCCCCCCAAAAGCCCCTGCAAGTCCACCTGCCAAATCTCCATTGCTTGCAGAGAGCATCGCAGCCATCACAGAGTTCTGGCCTGCTCCAGAGGAGAAAATATCTTGAATGCCCGAAATCCCCTGCTCCAGCCCACCACCATTGCCCCCACCCATGCCACCCCCACCCCAACCATCTGCATTTTCCCCTCCACCCATCCCCACTTGCTGCTGCTGTTGTGGCGCTGTGTTGAAACCGCCTCCTCCTGAGAGAAGGGTGTTGAGCGCGGAAGACAGAGCCCCGTTTGCTCCAAGCTCGGGGTACATGCTGAGAGCAGACTGCAGTGTGTCCACGTTCAGACCAGGAGGTAACTTATCTGCCAATCTCTGAATCAAATCATTTGGAAGCTGCAGCTGTTGCGATTGTTGCTGCTGTTGCTGCTGTTGCTGCTGCTGTTGCTGCTGCTGTTGTTGCTGCTGCCCTCCCATCATCCCCCCACCCCCACCGTTATTTCCCTGGTCGTGCTGCTGCAGCGACCCTGCCAGTGCACTAAAGTTGCCCTGCCCTCCACCCAGGCCAGCAACGGCGTCCAGAAGCCCTGAGTTCTGCCCTCCGCCAAGCGGCAATCCCTGACTCGCCAAAGTCTCAATGGCCCTCGTCAGAAGCGACGACCCTGCACCGCCCGCACCTCCCAGGTTACCCAAGCCTCCAGACCGGGCGAGCACAGCGCCTGCTTGCTGCAGCAGATCCGGGAGGTTCACACCCGAGAGGCCTTGCAGCCCGTCCTGCTGCGCGCCATGCCCTAGGCCATCACCATCGCCTGGTGCAGACCCGTGCAGACCACCGCCACTGGAATTGTAGGGGTCTCCCCCCATGCCCACTCCAGACAGACCCCCTGCAGACCCTGAGAGGTTACCCTGGTTACCACCACCACCACCACCACCATAAACGTTACTGTTCATGTCGCCGCCACCACCAGCGTTAGAAGCGTAGCCAGGGTCCAGATTACCCCCAGGAGGAGCCATGCTGCCGTTGGAGCCGAGAAGCGAGGAGATTAAGGAGCCAATGTCTTTACCGCCAGCTCCGCCTCCCAGGGAAGAGAGAAGACTGGAGACTTTAGAGAGGTCAAGGTTCGCCAGAAGCTGGTTGGATCCTCCCATGTTGCGAAGCGCCTGCAGCAGCACTTGCTGCTGATCCTGGGGCTCCTGTTGCTGCTGCTGTTGCTGTTGCTGTTGCTGCTGCTGTTGCTGTTGCTGTTGCTGCTGCTGTTGCTGTTGCTGCTGTTGCTGTTGCTGTTGCTGTTGTTGCTGCTGCTGCTGCTGCATCAATAAGTGCTGCTGTTGGTCTGACTGCTGTTGCTGCTGCTGCTGCTGCTGCTGATTCTGCTGATTCTGCTGAAGAAGGAGCGCCGCCGCTTCCCCCAGGGAGCCACCTCCGGCACCAGCGAGCAGGCTCGCCATGCTACCGCCACTATTGTTGATCGCCGCAAGGAGAGCGCTCGGGTTCAAACCTCCCTGACTCACAGCCTGCAGCATCTGCTGCTGCGGCGTCATGCCCTGATTCTGCCCTCCGTTGTTGGAACCCTGGCCGAGCCACAGCCCCATACCGCCCCCGCCTTGCTTGTTCATGGCTCGGCTGACCAGATCTGCGAACTCCTGCGACGAAAACTGCTGCTGCGAGCCCTGCTGCTGCGACGATTGAAGCCCCTGCGACTGGAAATTCTGCTGCTGACCTGGCAAAAGGGCTGCGCCAGCGGCAGCGGCTTTCGTGACGTCATCACCGAACATGACGGCAGCGCCTCGCATCGTGTCCCCTTCGAACCCCGCGCCTTTGTGACTCAGTCCGCCGACGCTCCCGGGGCCGGCGCCTGTAGCGGCGGAGTCGCCGGGCTCGGGTTTGACGCTGGTGGGGCCTGTGTCCGCGAGCGCGTCGCAGAAAGCTCTGTGCGTGATGAAGCTGTCGCGCCTGCGGAGTGGAAAACGAACGAAAGAAAGGGGTAAGGTTATAGTGAAGAAATAACGACGCGGAGGTCGTAAGGAGAAAAACAACGGACCTTATAGTGAAAGACAAAGCCGACACGCAAATTTAGGAGATTTGGGAGGGACCGGGGTTAAGATGCAAATGGAAAGGGCTGGTTGTGTTACCTTGAAAAGAGGGTTCCGCAATCGCATCGGTACTCGCGAGTACCGCACGTCTTCATGTGGGCCTTCCAATCCGATTGCACGGCGTATTTCTTCGAACACTTTTCGCACTTGTACTTCTTCTCGCCGTGCTTGCGGCAAAAATGCTTCTTGATCCCGGTCAGATCTCCGAGCGCTCTGGACGGGTCGTGGTGGATGCAGGTGGGCTCCGGGCAGACGTACACCTTCTTGCGCACCTCCTGCGTCGTGCGTTGGCGGAGCTTCCAAGGGAGGTTGTGGCCGCGGCGGTGCAGCTGCAGGTTCTGGTCGCGCTGAAAGCCTTTGTTGCAGATCTCGCACACAAACCGGTTGGTCGCGAGGAGGGTGCGCGGAGACAGGGCCACAACTTCTGCGTCCGGATCTGAAAATAAACAAAATGATAACGGAAGGGATTACCAGAGAGAACAGGACAGAAAAGAAGTGAGAAGTGGTAGCGAGAGTGAGAAGCAGCGGTAAGAAGAGGGTCTATAGGACGGATTAAGAAACTCCGGGAGGAGCATCAAATAGCTTTCACACATTGGGAATAAAAAACACCATTGTTTCCGTCAATCGTAATGCGTCAAATGTCGTACCTGGGTTTCCAGGAAGGTTACGCTTCCGCTTCAATGAACCACTGGGCGTGCCCGTGTTCTGAGTCTCCTCTTCCTTCTTCGCAACGCCGTCTGCGCCGCTGCCATCAGACGAGCTGCCGCCTCCAGCATCGTCGTCAAATTGGTTCGGTGGGAGCTGAATCGTCAGCGCCTTTGGAGGAAGCGACATTGAGCCTTGATTGTCCAAGATGATAGCTTAGATTGGAAAAGGTTGGTAGCGTCAACGGTGTTGCGGAAATCCTTTCGGAAGGACTCCAGATCTGAAAACACATCCAACACGGTAAAATAAATAAAGAAGGATATAATTAGGTAAAGAACAACATCGCGAAGCAACAATGCGAGACGCAGACACAAAGCACGAGTCTACTAGTATGTACAATGGGGACGGCCGGAAAGCGCAGGAAGCAACAGCAGATCAGAAACACGTATGAAGGTGCTCCGAAAGGCCATTGTGGATACATAAAAACCAACCATGAACATGGACGACAGAGGTATGAGCTAGTCATTAAGGGCGTACCAAATATCAATGGATGGGTGGAAGCCGCTTTGTCCAGCTTGTCAAGTTTGAACAAAGAAGGCCGAACAGCAAATTGGCTTATCTCTAGCTGGAATCGGATACTACCGCAAACAGCAATCGGTACCAACAGGCAAGGGGTGGGCCCAAGGACGACGACAAGAAAGGGAAAACAGCACAGGAAGAAGCCAGGAGTTCAGGACAGGAGGAAGACAGGACAGGACAGGACAGACGAACTTTGGCTCTCCTCGACCAGCCTCGCAGCCTTTTGGCTGCTTCTCTAGCCCGCCCTCCTCCTGCGGCACAATGGCTTTTGATTTCACCGCACGCGATGGATGACCTCGAGGGCCTGCCCAAGCGCCGCCTGGCCACCTTGCGCCGAGGGTTTCGTTTTGAAGTGAGGAGTGCGCGGGGTTGGGGGAGTTCTGAAGAACTCGATGGTGTTGGAGTTTCTGCCCCTTGCCTTACGGTCACCGTAAAGGATCTTGAAGACCAATGGCAACGCAGAAACGACTTTTTTTTTTACAGTTTCCAAGAAGGGTCAAGATCTCGATGCTCCTCTCTTCAGAGTTTTGCTAGGGAGGGAATCGAGATGGCGCAGAAATGGTGCGGATGGGATGCTGGTTGCGCGGAAGCCTGTGTTGCGGAGAGCTGTGTTGCGGAGAACTGTTTCGCCGCAGTGAGGAAAAGCGGGGTGGAGTTTCTAGGGAATGGGTTTTTGGCTTGGCCGACGATGGCCAACCAGGGGATATCAAGGTCTGATCGTACGGTAAATATCGTTTGACCCCAACCTTATCGACGGTTCACGGCATGTTTCCGAAGTGATAAGGTTGGGCAGTCAAAGTGCAACTACTTGTTTCCTAGCAGCCAGCCTGATGCTGTTGCATGCAACCATACTGCCTCCTCCGCGAATCCAAGAAGGCTGCGAGCAGCCATGGCCATTGCGAAACCGACGGAGCAATGAGGGCAAGCAAAACAAAACAGAGTGACAGGTATCTTGTCGCCGACACCAAAGAAAGCGTCCAAAGTCGTTCGTGTTGATGGAGCACATCGCACACTTGCAGTCGGAAAACGCCAAGCCTCGTTGAGAGTTTAGCGCACTGAGTTGGAAAATAAATCATCATTCAGCGATGACATCAAAAGAGCAGATGCTGTACAAAACCGTCAGCCGATCTTTTCAGCCAACATAAGGTCGAGCTATTGGGGCAATAGCTAATTTCGATACCATCCAGACCATTTTTTGTGACTGAGATCTCTACCCCGTGTAGTTCGGGTATGATGAGGAAAACTCTCATGTCCGACTTGAAAAATATATTTTCATATAGCTCTGTTCTTTAAAATATTTCACCTGGTCACCCTTCGATTTCCACCACATGCTTGGGAGGCTGCCGCGTCCGAGCTGACAGTATTCGGACAAAAATGGGTGGCAGTGACACGCAAACATCCCGAGTCCCGACTTGACACGAGACTAAACCGTTACAAGCAGAATGGAACCACCAGACAAAACATGTATACAACCATATTACACAAGAGAACTACAACTGCAAAAACAGAAATCAAAACTGTGTGCGTTGCCGATTCCTTCGTGATGGCAGTGGTAGGGATACCCCTGCATTCATCAATACATCTAAAAGGTCCCACGATGGATCAATCTCTGGAGCATCATTCATCCGAGACACCGCTCCTGTGCTATCCCGCCTGCCCGTTCCTCGACCATCAGGTGATTCGTACAAATGCTGCCACCACTTCTTCCTGATTGGTGGAGGCGCAGAAGCAGGAGCAGAGCTGGCAACTGGAACATTTGGCGTGACAGGCGAAACTCTAGCCTTGGAACCACCAGTGGAGGCTCTCCTGGTATCCATGGCGCCACCTCCTGACACTGGTTCACCTAACGCTGGTTCCTCAGTCGTCCCTTCCTTGCGCCTACTCCTCCCTTCATGCTTCAGCCCACGTGCTCGCTTTCTTCCCTCACTTGCAACCTGCGGCCTTTCCTGTAAACCACCCTCCTCAGCATCATCAGCACAGCCCATGCCTTCCCCTGGAGTTGCTGTGGGTGTGTCAGCAGGGCTCCCAGTGCTCTTCCTCCTCCGCCCAACCACCACCACTTCAAACTCCAGCTCTTCCGCCACTGAGCCCTCACCCAATCCCGGCACCACTGCGCATCGGGACGACCTGAAGAGTACATCTCCATCCTTGGGAACGTCCTTCCCATAACTCCCATCCTTCCCATCCTTCTCCTGACTGTGCCTCCTGTTCTTTTCCTTCACCCTGCTCTGATCCTGGACGGCAGAACCTGGCCTTTTGTTGGATCCATCAAGCCCTGCAGCAATGGCTGCTGCCACCTCGCCGGCCATTTTGGAAGCTAGTGCCTCGGCGATCGTGTCAGCAGCTGCAGCGGTTACTCCCGGCACATCCACTGCCACTCTCGCTGACATGTCAATCTTTGAGATTTGCTTGCTGCGCTGTAAAGCCGCTGAACCTTTCGCAGCCGATGCTCTTTTTCCTGCCTCCTTCGCTCCAGCCTCTCCTGTTCCTCTGTTCTTCCCTCCCCTTGTCCCCCGCTCCTCAGATTCTGTCACTCCTTGTGCTCCCTCTCCGCCCCTTGCTTCCGTCCTGTCTTCAGGAACCACCGCCTCGTACTGCGTCTCACTCCCCGCACGGGCACCACTGCCAGCACCAGCCACGCCCCCCTGCTTCTCACGTACCTCAAAAGAGCTCCCCTCGCCGCCACGTGCACTGCCACTACCACGGCCAAGGACAGGCAAGCCTGTCTTTCCTGTCTGCCTGTCCTCCCCTGCGCCCTTCTCTTCCCTCCGCCTCTTCCCAATTACTCCTACCTGCTCTCTCACCCATCCCCCCTCAACTGCTACTCTGGCTACCTCTTGTTCCCCCCCACCCACCACCCCTGTTGCCCCACCTCCCATCCCCCCCACATCCATTCTCACTCCCCCTCCCGTCCCCCCCACCTCCACCACTAAATCCGTCTCCTCCTCCTCACCTGCACTTCTCTCCCCCCCCCCTCCTCCTAGATCCACCCCACGCTCACGGCCCACCAACAACCTCTCCCCTTCCTCATCCGCCTCCACTCCCTCCTCCTCCTCCTTCTCCTTCTCCCGCTCCCCCTCAGCTATCTCTGGAACCCCTCCCACACCAACCACCACCTCCGCTTCCTCTGAGCCCGCCTCATTCCCTTGTTCTGTGTCCGCCTCGTTTGCCTCCTCTGCCTGCTCCTCATGCCCTTCCTCCTCCTCCTGCATCTCCTGGGCTGCAACGCCATCTCTCTCCTGGGTTGCTGCGGGCGATTTTTGAGAATGCTCGGATGCTGCAGGAGACTCTTCATAATGCCCTGTTGTTGCAGCCGTATCTTGGGATCTATCAACAGAAATCTCCTGCACTTCAGCTCCATGTGTCTCCTGGGTGTCATATGCCTCTGTCCACTGCACGTTTTTCTCCTCCTGTGTCCTCAGCAATTCCGCCTCCTCTTCCCCGAGCGCCATCCCCTCTGACTTTTGAGTCAACTCAGAAGTCAGCTTCTCAACAGACGTCTCCTGCACTTCATCTCCATGTGTCTCCTGGCTGTCATATGCCTCTCTCCACTGCACGTCCTCCTCCTGTGCCTTACGCGATTCCTCTTCCTCTGGCACTAGCACCAACCCCTCTGCGTCCTGCGTCTCCTCGTCAGCAACAGCAACAGCTTCAGCAGTAGTAGCAGTAGTAGCAGCAGTAGTAGCAGCAGTAGCAGCAGTATCAGCAGTGGCTGTAGCAACATCAGCCCCTGTGGAGGCAGCAGCAGCAGCAGCAGCAGCAGCAGCAGCAGCAGCAGGAACATCCCCGTCCCTCTCTCCTCTGTCTTCCTGTGATTCATGGCCACCTGCACCACCACCACCACCACTGTCGCCCTTGCCACCACCAATGCCACCCCCAGCGTCGACACTGGAGCCACCAGAAAAGAGGCTCTTGGCAAAGCGAGTGAAAGTGCCGTAGACTGAACTTATACCCCCCACCCTCTCCGCCCTCCTCTTCTCCTCCACCTCCTGCCCACGTTCTTTTGCTGTCGCATTCCCCACCTCCCCTTCTCCCTGCACCTCCTCCTCTCCCTCTCCCTCCACCTCCTTTTCTCCCTCCACCTCCATCGCTCCCTCCACCTCCCCTTCTTTGCCTGCATCACCATCCAAAGCCATGGGGACATCGGAGGGAGCTCCAGACACATCCGCAAGGGCTGCAGCAGAGTCATCCGCGCCCACATGCCTCACGTCCTTTGTCTGTTGCGTCTCATACGAGCCCTCCTCCGCCCCATCCCCAGGCAGCCACGCCTCAAACGTTGGCTTCACAGCCCCATCTGCCATCTCCACATCGTCCCCTCCTCCCTGCCCATCCTCCACATCATTTCCTCCCCCCTGCCCATCCTCCTTCCCCTCAGCATCCCTGCTCGCCTGCTCGCGTTCCTTCTCCTCCTCCACCTCCTGGATCACAGGGCTGCCTGCTTCTTCTTCCCCTTGAAGGTGAGCTCCAGGTTTTGAGTCAAGGCTGCCGTACTGAGCCAAGGCCTCAGCTTGCACTGCGCCCCCCTCTTCCTCCTCCTCAGTGGCTTCTCTTCTCCGCCCCCTCACCTCCTCCGACTCCTCCCTCACTTCCTCCGCCTGCTTCCTCCCCTCAGTCCGTTCTGTCCCTTCCACCTCAGTCACCTCCCTTCCATCCTCCGTCTCCTTCCTCTCGCCTCCCTCCTGCCCCTCCTTGTCTCCCACAGCCAGCTCCACTCCCCCTCCGCCCTCCTCCTCCCCATCTGCCTCTTCCTCCTCTCCCTCCCCTACCCCTGCCCCTCCTTCCTCAACCCTCCCTGCCTCGTGTCCCATCTGTCGGCCACTGTCACCTTCACCTCCTCTTTCCATCTCCATGCTTGATGCCCGCACCTCTCCACTCCGCATCTCTGTTCCATCGCCCCCCTCCCCTTCCTTCCCTCCACTCATCTCCTCCCTCGGGCCCACTTCCTCTCCACCCCCACCCACTCGAGCACACTCATTACTTAGCTCCTTTTCCATTCGCGTGGCCTCTCGCCCCCCATCTCTCACTTCCCCCACCCCTCCCTCGCCTTCCCTTCCCACGTGTCCCTCTCTAGCCCCCTCTTCGCCTGCCCCACCGCCCTCTTCCCCGTTACCAGCTGCTGCATTGCCCTGTTTCTCTGCAAATCCCACGTTCCCATTAGAATCTGCTTCACCACTGTCCTTAACCACCTTCCCCTCCTCGCCCCCATTCTGCTCAGCAGCATCCTCCTCATTCCCAGTAGAAGCAGCTGTATTGTTGCCCGTGTCCTCCATAGAAGCATCTGCGTTATTGTCCTTGTCTCCCATAGATCCAGCTGCGTTATTGTCCTTATCCCCCATAGAAGCAGATGCGTTATTGTCCATGTCCCCATCGCCCAGCGTGTGAGCGTGGTCAGCGGGCAGCGGGAAGAGATCGGCGGAATCTGGGAACTCCTGAGTCACGGGCTGAACGCTGCTACACCTGCAGGCACACATGCCAGTCAGAGGCAGGAAACGAGAGTGCAATTGCAATAGGCGAAGGCAGCATGGGATGAGTCTTGAGAGAAGGTTTGTGCATGATCCGATGAGACGTGCAGCCCAGGGCGAGGACAAGTGACAATGATAGGACGAAAAAGCGTGGTTACTGCCTCCTGCAGAAGCACTTTTGAGTTTGAAAAAGAGACGGTTCGAGGAAGAATATGGAACATGCGGCAGCGGGTACAAGGCATGAGTTAGGGCGTGCCAGAGATGCGAGCAACAGAGTGAGTGCAATAAAAGATGCGAGCAACAGAGAGCGTGCAATATGAGATGCGAGCAACAGAGAGCGTGCAATATGAGATGCGAGCAACAGAGAGCGTGCAATATGAGATGCGAGCAACAGCGAGCATGCAATATGAGATGCGAGCAACAGAGAGCGTGCAATATGAGATGCGAGCAACAGAGAGCGTGCAATATGAGATGCGAGCAACAGAGAGCGTGCAATATGAGATGCGAGCAACAGAGAGCGTGCAATATGAGATGCGAGCAACAGAGAGCGTGCAATATGAGATGCGAGCAACAGAGAGCGTGCAATATGAGATGCGAGCAACAGAGAGCGTGCAATATGAGATGCGAGCAACAGAGAGCGTGCAATATGAGATACGAGCAACAGAGAGCGTGCAATATGAGATGCGAGCAACAGAGAGCGTGCAATATGAGATGCGAGCAACAGAGAGCGTGCAATACGAGATGCGAGCAACAGAGAGCGTGCAATATGAGATGCGAGCAACAGAGAGCGTGCAATATGAGATGCGAGCAACAGAGAGCGTGCAATATGAGATGCGAGCAACAGAGAGCGTGCAATATGAGATGCGAGCAACAGAGAGCGTGCAATATGAGATGCGAGCAACAGAGAGCGTGCAATATGAGATGCGAGCAACAGAGAGCGTGCAATATGAGATGCGAGCAACAGAGAGCGTGCAATATGAGATACGAGCAACAGAGAGCGTGCAATATGAGATGCGAGCAACAGAGAGCGTGCAATATGAGATGCGAGCAACAGAGAGCGTGCAATATGAGATGCGAGCAACAGAGAGCGTGCAATATGAGATGCGAGCAACAGAGAGCGTGCAATATGAGATGCGAGCAACAGAGAGCGTGCAATATGAGATGCGAGCAACAGAGAGCGTGCAATATGAGATGCGAGCAACAGAGAGCGTGCAATATGAGATGCGAGCAACAGAGAGCGTGCAATATGAGATGCGAGCAACAGAGAGCGTGCAATATGAGATGCGAGCAACAGAGAGCGTGCAATATGAGATGCGAGCAACAGAGAGCGTGCAATATGAGATGCGAGCAACAGAGAGCGTGCAATATGAGATGCGAGCAACAGAGAGCGTGCAATATGAGATGCGAGCAACAGAGAGCGTGCAATATGAGATGCGAGCAACAGAGAGCGTGCAATATGAGATGCGAGCAACAGAGAGCGTGCAATATGAGATGCGAGCAACAGAGAGCGTGCAATATGAGATGCGAGCAACAGAGAGCGTGCAATATGAGATGCGAGCAACAGAGAGCGTGCAATATGAGATGCGAGCAACAGAGAGCGTGCAATATGAGATGCGAGCAACAGAGAGCGTGCAATATGAGATGCGAGCAACAGAGAGCGTGCAATATGAGATGCGAGCAACAGAAAGCGTGCAATATGAGATGCGAGCAACAGAGAGCGTGCAATATGAGATGCGAGCAACAGAGAGCGTGCAATATGAGATGCGAGCAACAGAGAGCGTGCAATATGAGATGCGAGCAACAGAGAGCGTGCAATATGAGATGCGAGCAACAGAGAGCGTGCAATATGAGATGCGAGCAACAGAGAGCGTGCAATAGGAGATGCGAGCAACAGAGAGCGTGCAATATGAGATACGAGCAACAGAGAGCGTGCAATATGAGATGCGAGCAACAGAGAGCGTGCAATATGAGATGCGAGCAACAGAGAGCGTGCAATATGAGATGCGAGCAACAGAGAGCGTGCAATATGAGATGCGAGCAACAGAGAGCGTGCAATATGAGATGCGAGCAACAGAGAGCGTGCAATATGAGATGCGAGCAACAGAGAGCGTGCAATATGAGATGCGAGCAACAGAGAGCGTGCAATATGAGATGCGAGCAACAGAGAGCGTGCAATATGAGATGCGAGCAACAGAGAGCGTGCAATATGAGATGCGAGCAACAGAGAGCGTGCAATATGAGATACGAGCAACAGAGAGCGTGCAATATGAGATACGAGCAACAGAGAGCGTGCAATATGAGATGCGAGCAACAGAGAGCATGCAATATGAGATGCGAGCAACAGAGAGCGTGCAATATGAGATACGAGCAACAGAGAGCGTGCAATATGAGATGCGAGCAACAGAGAGCGTGCAATATTAGATGCGAGCAACAGAGAGCGTGCAATATGAGATGCGAGCAACAGAGAGCGTGCAATATGAGATACGAGCAACAGAGAGCGTGCAATATGAGATGCGAGCAACAGAGAGCGTGCAATATTAGATGCGAGCAACAGAGAGCGTGCAATATGAGATGCAAGCAACAGAGAGCGTGCAATATGAGATACGAGCAACAGAGAGCGTGCAATATGAGATGCGAGCAACAGAGAGCGTGCAATATTAGATGCGAGCAACAGAGAGCGTGCAATATGAGATGCGAGCAACAGAGAGCGTGCAATATGAGATGCGAGCAACAGAGAGCGTGCAATATGAGATGCGAGCAACAGAGAGCGTGCAATATGAGATGCGAGCAACAGAGAGCGTGCAATATGAGATGCGAGCAACAGAGAGCGTGCAATATGAGATGCGAGCAACAGAGAGCGTGCAATATGAGATGCGAGCAACAGAGAGCGTGCAATATGAGATGCGAGCAACAGAGAGCGTGCAATATGAGATGCGAGCAACAGAGAGCGTGCAATATGAGATGCGAGCAACAGAGAGCGTGCAATATGAGATACGAGCAACAGAGAGCGTGCAATATGAGATGCGAGCAACAGAGAGCGTGCAATATGAGATGCGAGCAACAGAGAGCGTGCAATATGAGATGCGAGCAACAGAGAGCGTGCAATATGAGATGCGAGCAACAGAGAGCGTGCAATATGAGATGCGAGCAACAGAGAGCGTGCAATATGAGATGCGAGCAACAGAGAGCGTGCAATATGAGATGCGAGCAACAGAGAGCGTGCAATATGAGATGCGAGCAACAGAGAGCGTGCAATATGAGATGCGAGCAACAGAGAGCGTGCAATATGAGATGCGAGCAACAGAGAGCGTGCAATATGAGATGCGAGCAACAGAGAGCGTGCAATATGAGATGCGAGCAACAGAGAGCGTGCAATATGAGATGCGAGCAACAGAGAGCGTGCAATATGAGATGCGAGCAACAGAGAGCGTGCAATATGAGATACGAGCAACAGAGAGCGTGCAATATGAGATACGAGCAACAGAGAGCGTGCAATATGAGATGCGAGCAACAGAGAGCGTGCAATATGAGATGCGAGCAACAGAGAGCGTGCAATATGAGATGCGAGCAACAGAGAGCGTGCAATATGAGATGCGAGCAACAGAGAGCGTGCAATATGAGATGCGAGCAACAGAGAGCGTGCAATATGAGATGCGAGCAGCAGAGAGCGTGCAATATGAGATGCGAGCAACAGAGAGCGTGCAATATGAGATGCGAGCAACAGAGAGCGTGCAATATGAGATGCGAGCAACAGAGAGCGTGCAATATGAGATGCGAGCAACAGAGAGCGTGCAATATGAGATACGAGCAACAGAGAGCGTGCAATATGAGATATGAGCAACAGAGAGCGTGCAATATGAGATGCGAGCAACAGAGAGCATGCAATATGAGATGCGAGCAACAGAGAGCGTGCAATATGAGATACGAGCAACAGAGAGCGTGCAATATGAGATGCGAGCAACAGAGAGCGTGCAATATTAGATGCGAGCAACAGAGAGCGTGCAATATGAGATGCGAGCAACAGAGAGCGTGCAATATGAGATACGAGCAACAGAGAGCGTGCAATATGAGATGCGAGCAACAGAGAGCGTGCAATATTAGATGCGAGCAACAGAGAGCGTGCAATATGAGATGCAAGCAACAGAGAGCGTGCAATATGAGATACGAGCAACAGAGAGCGTGCAATATGAGATGCGAGCAACAGAGAGCGTGCAATATTAGATGCGAGCAACAGAGAGCGTGCAATATGAGATGCGAGCAACAGAGAGCGTGCAATATGAGATGCGAGCAACAGAGAGCGTGCAATATGAGATGCGAGCAACAGAGAGCGTGCAATATGAGATACGAGCAACAGAGAGCGTGCAATATGAGATGCGAGCAACAGAGAGCGTGCAATATGAGATGCGAGCAACAGAGAGCGTGCAATATGAGATGCGAGCAACAGAGAGCGTGCAATATGAGATGCGAGCAACAGAGAGCGTGCAATATGAGATGCGAGCAACAGAGAGCGTGCAATATGAGATGCGAGCAACAGAGAGCGTGCAATATGAGATGCGAGCAACAGAGAGCGTGCAATATGAGATGCGAGCAACAGAGAGCGTGCAATATGAGATGCGAGCAACAGAGAGCGTGCAATATGAGATGCGAGCAACAGAGAGCGTGCAATATGAGATGCGAGCAACAGAGAGCGTGCAATATGAGATGCGAGCAACAGAGAGCGTGCAATATGAGATGCGAGCAACAGAGAGCGTGCAATATGAGATGCGAGCAACAGAGAGCGTGCAATATGAGATGCGAGCAACAGAGAGCGTGCAATATGAGATGCGAGCAACAGAGAGCGTGCAATATGAGATGCGAGCAACAGAGAGCGTGCAATATGAGATGCAAGCAACAGAGAGCGTGCAATATGAGATGCGAGCAACAGAGAGCGTGCAATATGAGATGCGAGCAACAGAGAGCGTGCAATATGAGATACGAGCAACAGAGAGCGTGCAATATGAGATACGAGCAACAGAGAGCGTGCAATATGAGATGCGAGCAACAGAGAGCGTGCAATATGAGATGCGAGCAACAGAGAGCGTGCAATATGAGATACGAGCAACAGAGAGCGTGCAATATGAGATGCGAGCAACAGAGAGCGTGCAATATTAGATGCGAGCAACAGAGAGCGTGCAATATGAGATGCAAGCAACAGAGAGCGTGCAATATGAGATACGAGCAACAGAGAGCGTGCAATATGAGATGCGAGCAACAGAGAGCGTGCAATATTAGATGCGAGCAACAGAGAGCGTGCAATATGAGATGCGAGCAACAGAGAGCGTGCAATATGAGATGCGAGCAACAGAGAGCGTGCAATATGAGATGCGAGCAACAGAGAGCGTGCAATATGAGATGCGAGCAACAGAGAGCGTGCAATATGAGATGCGAGCAACAGAGAGCGTGCAATATGAGATGCGAGCAACAGAGAGCGTGCAATATGAGATGCGAGCAACAGAGAACGTGCAATATGAGATGCGAGCAACAGAGTGAGTGCAATATGCAATATGAGATGCGTGCGAGCAGCAATGCATGCAAGGGTCAACCAATGTGAGTGCTTAGCTCACCCGAACGACCCATAGCTATCAGTGGCCAGCCAGCGAGCCTCCTCTGCAGGGACCTCCTCCACTTGCGCCATGTCAGAAGCAGGCTCGCGGGCCACGTCAGCAACGGGTACTCCAGCCACGTCAGCACCAGGCCCTTGAGCGGCACGAAGGCTAAACGTGCCAGTGGCAGGCTCAGGAGGAGCGGCTGAAGCAGCAGCAATAGGGGCGACTGCAGCAGCAGGTGTAACATCAGGTGTAGCATTGGGTGTAGCGTCAGGTGTAGCATCAGCTGTAGCATCAGGTGTAGCATTAGGAGTAACATTAGGAATATCATCAGGTGTAGCACCAGGTATAGCAGCAGCTGTAGCAGCAGCTGTGGCCGTTGTAGCTGCATCGGAAACAACAGCCGCTGCCACTGAAACTCCCTCAACAGTCTCCTCTGATGCCTGCACAGACCCAACAAGGAAGAAAGCAAAATTTAGCTCTCGAATAAAAACATCTCTCATTACACTCCTCTGCACATCCCCAACACACACACACCACCCCCCCCAACAACTCCCCAGCCCATCCCCCTCCACAGCTCTCAGCCCATCCCTGCACATCACACGTGGTACACACCTGCTGCAGCACATCCATGCCTTCCGGTCCCTGTGCACGCCCATGCAGCCCACCCTCCGCACCAGCACCGGCATTGGCTTCAGCATGAGGATCGGCATCAGCCTCGGCAACAGCCTCGGCAACAGCCTCGGCATGGGCATCAAAACCAGCCCGCCTGTCCTCGTCATGCTGCTGCAGGCTGAGCACGCGCACGTCGGGCGACAGGTGGCCGTGCATATCCGGCGATAGGAGTGCGTGTGTGTCCGCGTCCGTGGAGAATGGCTGCGTGTGCATTCCACACGCACTCTCACCCCCCACACCTCCAAACCCAATGTCAGAGTCAACGTGCACTGCCGCGTGAGCGTGTGTGTTAATGTCAGTGTCCGCATCAGCAGGGGCTGAGATGTGAGCGTGGGTGCTAATATCAGTGTCAGTATCAGTGTGAACGGTGCATGCTTCCCTTGCACCTCCTACGCCTGCTGCTGCCATCCCACCCCTCTCAACCCCTTCTTCCGCCCCTCCCGGACCACTCACTTCCTCCTCACCACCTGCCGCAGCTGCATCAAACCTCCTCGTCTCCTGTCCTCTTCCAGCTCCAGGTTCGGCAGCAGGCTCGGGTACAGGCACGGGAGGAGGCATCGCAGGTGGGTAGGTGGCGAATGGCTGGATATCCGGCTTAATGTCTTGGGAGATTAGCTGTGAGAAGTCCTGGGATAGAGCTCCTTGCGGCGAGACTGGCTGGCTGTTCTGCCACGTCAGGTCTATGGCGTCATCGTGCCAGTCTGGCATGGCCACGTCATCGGAAGGGACCTCCACCGTCACACCCTCCCAACCTGTTAGCGAGAAAGGAGGAGGTTAGGGAGGGGAGCGGTGGGGGGCGCGTGTGGGAAAGTGGGGGGAGGGGATATGCCGCGGAGGGGGCGAAGGGGGGGAAGGGAGGGCGTGGTGCACTGAAGAACGACACTGGCGTGGTCATGGAGCACGAAAGGAGGCCTGAAAACAGAAATAAGGATGTTTGCCTAGGAAGCACCGGTTGTAAGTTGACTGCTGGCGTGATTGACAAGTCACGGCAAATCCATGACGTGAATTTCTCGAACAGGCGTAGCTAAGGCGTGGTTAATGGGTCATTCATATGCTTGCCTTCTTGAAGATGCAGTGCCTCCTCCTGCGACGTGCTCACTAACGCGTCCTCCAGCACCTGACAGAGGCCATGGAGGAAACATGACGACCGGGGCGTACAACGAAAATGGAAATGCAAATCCACGACCAAATTTTAGAAATAAAAATAACCAGATGATGGAGGTATACAGAACTAAAGTGTCGCACAGGACGGAACAGGAAAGATAACGTTAGCAAGCAAAGAAGCAGTCTCAAAGCCATAGCAACTGACCTGATCGACTTGCATCTCAACCTCTTCGCTTGAATCATCCTGGCGGGGATTCTCTCCTTTCTCGCCGTTCAGCTGTGAATCCATCCCAGATGCGCCTTCGTCTCGACCATCCCTCTGAGATTCCAGGCCCGTAACCTCTTGGTTAGTGTCGGCCTCCCTTCCTTCCGGCTCTGTCGAATCCGGAATACACTGGTCACCATCGCGAAGGTTTGTTTCGTCTAAGCTTTCACCTGGATCACCCTCGTGGTTACTTAACGCAGCCATACGGTTTGTCGGAAACCGAAGCTTCGAATACGCTCGGGCAAAAGTAAGATCTGTACGGGATCGTAACGATAGGCACCAGGGAATTCGCTGGGGTCGGGGATGAGTGTGGCTGCTTGTCCTAGCTCATTCCCTGAAAATATGGAACCATTTGGAGTACTTTTTTGCCGTTGCAGTTGCTACTGTACGGTTGTGAATAGTTTTCCCGCTTGTTTGATGGGTCAGAAACTGTTTGGTGTAGATATTGCAAGGTAATGAGGGGTTTCCGGAATGAAGGGTTGGGCTGGGTTGGGATCTTTGGAGAATCGAAACATCGGGTTCTCCACCTCGTGAATAGACACATCCTGTACTCTGACACAACTCTTCTGGCTGATCACGAAGGCATAGCTTGGTTCTTTGGTTCACCAACCGTCTCGCCTGCACGACTTTAGGAACAACCTGCTTTCTTAACTTCCAAGATCCGTCCGCTACGATAGTATGCGTCACGTAGACATGAGCAGCGAGCCGTTCACAGTCTCCGTTGCTGATGACGTGGCGCTAGCGGATGTTGAGCACTGGCTGTTGTTCGACGAAGCCGTTCTGCCTCATCCTCCGCCTTCCAGCGACGACTCTCATTCGCTGACGCAACTTTTCTCAGATTTACCGTTTATTCCCTCAGATCCGTCACTCGCTTTCTTGACAGACGACCATGCTCCTGTAGTTGATGCGTATATAGGAGACACTAACGCAGACAATGCTCCTACACGCGATGCTCCCGCTAACCAGGGCGAAGTTAGTCCAGAACTGCGATTGGATTATCTATTCGGAGGGCTCACGGAGAGGTGGACTCTACCTGCTTCGGATGGCGGAGATATCATACGACAAACAGACACGCGCGAGGCGTGTACGGATGGATCCGGTGAAGCATGTCCGATTATAACAAGCTTCGCGGATTTCGTCGATACGCGCGACTCAAGCGGCGTGAACCATAGCCATGGCTCTGCCACGCCCGAGGATGGCCGAGTAGAGAGGGTCGAATTTTTGCGTCTGGGGACGAGGTATGTCCCGGACGCAGGAAACGTTTTTGCAGCCAGCAGTTTAGACACATGCCTGCCAGAACAGGCTGGTCCGTCCACGTGGCTTCCTGATCCACCTCGGAATGCAGAGGGGGAATTAGAACAAGGTTTGTCTGCCACGTCAGCATCCGTTCTGCGCGCATTGCAGCTTGATGGTTCCAGTTCGCAGGTGCTGACCTTCGAGGAATCTTCGGACAGGCTCTTCGCGGCGACAGCGCCAGCGACTTTTCAGATCGCGAGGGGGCACTGGGAGCAGGGGCAGCGTGAGCAAGCACACAGGGCGCAGCTGCTGTTGCCAGAACAGGAGGAAGCGCAGAATCTGCTGCTAACGCCGCAACAGTCGCAGCAGCGGAAGCAGCAGCAGTCACAGCAACAGTCGCAGCAGCAGTCGGAGCAGCAGTCGCAGCGACAGTCGCAGCAGCAGTCGCAGCAACAGTCGCACCAGCAGTCGCACCAGCAGTCGCACCAGCAGTCGCTGCAGCAGAAGAAGCAGCAGTCGCAGCAGCAAAGGCGAGACCACGATTCAGGCGAGCAGGAGCAGCAGCAGCAGGGACCCCGTCAGTCTAGCATACCCGCCAGCACGCATCCTTTCCCCTCCGCCATCCATGCCCGTCCCTCTCCGCCCCATCGCTCCTCCCCCGCCCAGCGCCCCTCTCCTTTCCTCGGCGGTGATATAGGAGTGGGTGGACTCAGAGGGCCTTCCGCCGACCCTCCCTCCGCTCTGCCCCCGCGCAAGCTGCCTCGGCGCCCACCGGACCTCTCCTCCCGCCTCGCCGCCGTGCTGCAAAACATCAACCCCCCCCGCCTTGCGCCCTTCCCTGGGCAACCCCTCCCCTTCTCGCCCAAGCCGGGCCTTCCTTCTCCTGCCACGCCCGCAGCTCCCACCTCGCCTGCAGCTCCCGCTGCCACTGCGTCTACCACTGCAGCTCAGTCGTTTCCTGTGCTGGCATCCTCCACAGCAGCAGCAGCAGCAGCAGCAGCAGCAGCAGCCATTCCACCAGCACCAGGAGTAGTCGCACAAGCAACAGCAAGAACAGCAGCAGTAGCAGCAGCAGCAGTAGCTTCCGCAGTGTCCTCTTTACAGGCGCCAGCGAGCAGGCTCGTGGTTGGTGAATGTCGGGGAGGCGCGCGTTCTTTTATGGGCTCTACACTGCCCTCCTCTGCTGCTCGCACGAGCGACGCTGCTGCTTATGGATATGACCAGCGAGTGCAATGGCCAGCATACTATTCGCAACAAGAGAATTGTCATGAGCTGCAACCACTGCAGCTCCCGCCGCAGCGACAGCAGGAGAGAAATTTGCAGTGGCAGAATCAGCATCAGCTGCTGCAGCAGCAGCAGGAGGCAGGAGCAGCAGCAGCAGCAGGAGCAGCAGCAGCAGCAGCACGGAACAATGCGGACAGCAATGCACTTGACAGAATTTGCCTCCGTACGGCGCACAGCAACCCTTCAAGCACGGCCCTGGACAGGGCAGATAACCGCGCAGCAAGCAGGGCGGCCCTCCCCGTTCCCCACGTTGCTGCATTTGGCCCCGAGAGGCCCCTGCGAGTGGATGTGTCGGGCATGCTGCCGCAGTCCGTATGTGGCGCGAGGGAGGGCATGCTGAAGCAACAGCTCATGGCTCTCGCTGAAGCCATGGCCGTTGGTGACTCGGTGCGTGGGGCGTGTGTCAAGTGGGGGGTGGGATGAATAGTCCAGAACCAGGCATGGCTTGTGTGGAGTGGGGAGTGGGCTGCCTAGTCAAGCAAGGCATGGCTTGTGTTCGTTGTCTCCTGCTGATGCATGGTTGAGCAAGAGTTGCAGTGCACTACTTCAAGTCTTGTTCTCCTCCTTTCTTCTTCCCCTCCCCTATCTCATTTCATCCCCTCCCCACCTCATTTCATCCCTTCCCCCACCTCATTTCATCCCCATCCCCACCTCACTTCTTCCCATTCCGCACCTCATTTCATCCCCTCCCCCACCCTCCCCCACCTCACTTCTTCCCTTTCCGCACCTGATTTCATCCCCTCCCCCATCTCACTTCCTCCCATTCCGCACCTGATTTCATCCCCTCCCCCATCTCACTTCCTCCCATTCCGCACCTCATTTCATCCTCTCCCCCACCTCACTTCCTCCCCAGCTCAACCCTCACCAGGCGCACTCGCGTGCAAGCTGGAGCCAAAGGGATCTGCTCACTCACACACCTCTCCCCTTGTCTTCATTCCCCCCCATTCCTTCCTTCTCCCCTTCCCGGCCTTCTCCCTGCCTCCCTTGCCCCGCCCCTACCCACCAGGTGCGGTGGTGGGACTGCATGCGCCATGTTGTCCTGTCCAAACGCCCTGATGTCGCTACACTGGCGAATCATCCCTTCCCTTCCACCAAACCCCTACCCCACCAGGTGCGCTGGCGGCACTTCAAGCACCAGGTGCTCGTATTGAAAGGCACTTGGATGTCTCATCAATATCTGACCCATCCCCACTCTTTCGTACCAAACCCCTACCCCACCAGGTGCGGTGGCGGCAGTTCATGCGGCAGGTGCGGAGGGAGGCGGCAGCGGGGGGGGACACGCTGCAGCGCATTGCCTTCCACGCGCTGGAGGCGCTGCAGGCGCGCATGGATGGCACCGCGCTCACTCGCTGGCAAGCCCCCTTGAAAGTCACCCTTCAGGTACATCCTTTCCGCACTCCCCACCTTCCCCTCTCCCCATCTTCCCCACCTCACCACCTTCCCCTCTCCCCATCTTCTCCACCTCCCCACCTTCCCCACTCCCCCTCTCCCCCCTCCCCCACATGTCATGCCATGTGGCCGATGCATGCCACGTGTCCACTGCATGTCATGTGCCCCATGCACGCCGTACGACCCATACATCCCATCCATCCCTTCCATCCCATGCCTCCCATCCATCCCATCCATCCCACATTCCATGTGAGCAGGATTTGATGGCAGCGATGGGCCACGGCAGCGAGCATGGGATGCCGACATTCATGCACCTCGCCAACATTGCAGCCGTGCACGAAATTGTTCACGCATTCACCCACCAACCACACGCACACGCGCGCACACACCCACGCCCACATGCACACACACACCCGCACACACACTCACACACACAGAGCCGCCCCACACACACCACCACCCACGGCCATGCTCCCCATTCCCCTGCCACCCACCCACACACTCCGCACGCCCCTGCTCCACCTCCACAGCCTGCCTCATTCCCTGCCTCTGCCCCGGCCTCTGCCGGCCACTCCGTGCGGCGGCGGCGGCTGCACATCATAGCCATGGGATTCTACGGCGGGCCGCACTGGGTCAACATCTTCTTGCGCCTCGCTGCCCACTTTCCCCCCACCCCCCCCTCCCGTGCTGCTGCCACCAATGGGGATGCACCTGTGGCAAGCAGCAATAGCTCCACCAGCAGCGGCAACAGGAGCGGCAGCAGTGCTAGCACGCACCCCACAACCCCCCCCACACCTCTTTTACACGCTACCCCCCCGCCCCGCCCCATGGCCCACGTGAAAATCACAGCCGTTGATTTCGGGATCGTCAAAGTGGAGGAAAATCCGACGGGCCTGGTGCATCTGGGGGGGCGGTACCTGGAGCAGGTTGCATCAATGCTCGGGCTCTCCATGTCGTTCCACGGCATAGGAACAAACCTGCACGACTTCCACCCATCACAAGTGGAGGTGGATGAGGGCGAGGAGGTAGTGGTCCTGGCCAATTGGGGCCTCATGGTCTTCCCAGACGACACAGTGCTTCGCTCCAACCCCCGCAACACGATTCTCAAGTGGATCCGCGACCTGCGCCCGCTGCTCCTCCTGCAGGTAGACATTGATCTCGACGCCAACGGCCCCTTCTTTCTCTCGCGCTTCCACGCCGCATTCGCCAACTTCGCGGCGTGTGTCGAGTCGTTTGATGCTTCCATGCCACACTCCACCACGTCACGCTTCATCGTGGAAAGCATCCTGGCGCGGGACTTTATAAATGGAGTCGCATGCGAGGGCATGAACAGGTGGCTGCGGTCGGAGCGGCTCGAGAAATGGGTGCATCGGATGAGAGCGGTGGGGCTGGAGCCGGTGCCGATAGGGCCGGACACAGTGGCGGCTGGGAGGGAGGCCACGGAGGGGAGGGACAAGAGGTTCCGGCTGGAAGTGCATGGTGAGAGCGGCGCCCTGCAGCTCAGCTGGCGCGGCGTGCCCTTGATCTTCGTGGCCGCCTGGAAATAGCTTGGAGGCAGTGTTAAAAGCTGCAGCGCCCCAATGATCTTTGTAACCGTGTGGAGATGAATCTGCGATCCAAAGTGCTCTGATCCGCAACTTTGAGGGGCAATGGCAAGGTCAGCATCGCGTTCAGGAAGACGGGACTTATCAAACCAGGGTATGGTAGGTCCGGGCCGGTTGATGTGCCTCTTAATCTCCACATTCCTGCATTCGAACCGTCTTGCCCTATTTTTGCACTTGTTTCTCGTGCTTAACGTTTTGCATTTGCTTGTGGCTGTTCATCTTGCCTCCTCCCCTTTTTCCTTGTGGGAACCCCCTTTTGAGTGTGTTCATAACCCATGCTGTAAGCCAGCCTATGACAGGGTTCTGTGATAAGCAAGCTGCCACAACTGATCCTTCGAGCAACTCCAAAAACTCTTCAATTATGTATTGGAATGACTTGACCAAACATTTGATGTCAAATGGACAAGCATTTGTGTTTAGTGCAAATGGCAAAGAAACTGATGTTTTCCAGCATTAGCCTGGGTCAACCAACATATTCTGCTCGGTAGTGTTGTACGTGTCAAACGAAGCATAGTTCTTAACCGTGATTCACACCTCCGGAATTCATCACTTTCCGGGAGTCCATCCGAGCCCTGGTGGATTCGAATCCACCAGGTGCCCCTCCTGGTGGAAGTCGTTTCCACCAGGACGCGGAGCCGGCGGAAGCTGTCTGCCCGGGGGCAAAAAAAACTATTCCCCATCGCGACCGGCATGCCGTTCGGGAGCCTCAACCCTAAAATTTTAGGGTGGATGCCTCCCGAGCCGCGTGCCTTCCGGATGGGTTTTAGTTTTTTTTCTTGCCCGCAGGCAGATCGCTTCCGCGAGCACGCGGAAGCGGTCGCGGATTCGCCCGTGTTTTACTGTTCCTGCTCGTATGAAAGAAACTACCAGGGAACCTTGGGAATCCCAAGTTGGCTTGGGATGCACACCTCGCGAATTCAGGACGCGGCACCTCTAGGGAGGAAGCCACGATCGATCCTGAGTGGGGATCTATCCAGCTCTGTACAGTGAAATCGCGACATCGCCAACAGGCTGGTATCCGTCTTCGCCCTACCTCGCAGGTGTACAGTAAATTGGTGCCCAAAATGGTGGCACCTCTGGCTCGCACGATCGATGTGCCAACGCCCACACATCGATCGTGAAATTGTGGAGATCGGGCAATTTTGCCCCATGTATTTTCGATCCTGTCACCTGTGGCTCGGTGTGTCCAGGCGATTGCAAATCTGCAGTGTGGACACACATCGGTATGCGGATCGATGTGCCTAAACCGGTGTGAGGCCCCGATCCCCCACCGATCCTGACAATTTCCCTAGAGGTGCCGCGTCCTCACACAAATGCAGCTTTTTCGACCCCATGCCCCCACATCTCCATGCACCTTTCAGCTCCTACGGGTGCTGGAGGAAACCTTTCCTCCAACTCCCCGTGTTGGAGGAAACCTGTTGGAGGAATGAGCTGGCAAGCTGACCGCAGGCAGAAAAAAACTAAACCCCAACGCGACCGGCATGCCGTTCGCGATGGGGTTTATTTTTTTTCCTTGCCCGCGTTCCGCTTGCTTGCTTTCATACCATAGGTTAGTTTGGCAAACTCCCTCCATAACTGATCACGTAGGCGTAAGTTCGTTCCTTCCCTGCCGATCGTCTCGTATGGGATACAACCTGCTGCTTATAACCTGCAACATCCGACCGCTGCTAAACATTCTGTCACGCAGTCATGAGCGGCGAGCCGGTCACAGTCTTAGTCGCTGATGACTTGGCGCCAGCGGACGTTGAGCATTGGCTGTCGTTCGACGAAGCCCTTCTGCCTCATCCTCCGCTTTCCAGCGACGACCCTCACTTGCAGACGCAAGGTTTCCTGGAGTTGCCGATTACAACCTTAGATCCGTCACTCGCGTTCCTGATACGCGATGATGCTCCGATAGGTGATGCGTATACAGGAGATGCTAACGCAAACTGTGTTCGCATACGCGATGATCCCGATAACCGAGTCGAAGTTAGTCCGAAATTGCGGTTGGATGATTTACTTGGAGATCTGACGGCGAGGGGGACTCCACCAGATTCGGATGGCGTAGATCCTGTACGACAAACAGAGAGGTGCGAGGCGTGTATGGATGGATTCGGTGAAGCAGATGCGATTATAACGAGTTTTGCGGATTTTATAGATGCGTGGGACTTCAGTGGCGTGAGCCATAGCCATGACACTGCCGCGCCTGAGGACGGCGGAGTAGAAAGGGTTGAATTTTTGCGTCCGGGGGCGAGGTATGTCCCGAACGCAGGAAACGTTCTTGCAGCCAGCAGTTTAGACACGTGCCTGTCAGAGCAAGCTGATCCGTCCACGTGGCTTCCTGATCCACCTCGGAATGCTGAGCGGGGATCAGAACAAGGTTTGTCTGCCACGTCAGCTTCCGTTCTGCGCGAATTGCAGCCTGATGGTTCCGGTTCGCAGGTTCTGACCTTCGAGGAAGCTTCGGACACTCTGTTCGCGGCGACAGCGCCAGCGACTTTTCAGATCGCGAGGGGCCACTGGGAGCAGGTGCAGCGTGAGCAAGCACTGAGGGCGCAGTTGCTTCCGCCAGAGCAGGAGGAACCGCAGAATCAGTTGCTGACGCCGCTGCAACAGTCGCAGCAGCAGCCGCAGCCGCAGTCGCAGCAGCAAAGGCAATATTACGATCCAGGCAATATTACGCAGCATCAGCAGGATTTTCTCCAGTTGAGCTTACCTGCCAGCACTCCCTCCGCCGTCCATGCCCGTCCCTCTCCCCCACAGCGGTCCTCCCCCGCCCAGCGCCCCTCGCCCTCCTTCGGGGGTGATATAGGAGTGGGCGGGCTCAGGGGGCCTTCCGCCGTCCCTCCCTCCGCTCCGCCCCGGTGCAAGCTGCCTCGGCGCCACCCGGACCTCTCCTCCCGCCTCGCCGCCGTGCTGCAAAACATCAACCCGCCGCGCCCTGCGCCCTCCCCCTGGCGAACCCCCTCCAGCTTGCCCAATCCGGGCCTTCATTCTGCTGCTACGCCCGCAGGTCCCACTGCCACTGCGTCTACCGCTGCAGCTCGGTCGTTCCCCTTGTTGGGATGCTCTGCAGCACCAGCAACACCCATTCCACCAGCACCAGCAACAGCAGCAGCAGCAGCAGCAACAGCGATTGCGACAGACACACCAGCAACAGCGCCAGAAACAGCAGCAGCAGCAGCAGCAGCAGCAGCAGTGGCGGTAGCAGTAGCTTCTACAGTGTCTTGCATACAGGCGTTTGAGAGTAGGCTCGTGGTTGGAGGCAGTCGGGGAGACGCGAGGTCTTTCATGGGCTCTACACTGCCCCCCTCTGCTGTCCACACCAGCTACGCTGCTGCTTCTAGATATGACCAGCGAGTGCAGAGGCCAGCAACCTTTTCAGACAACACTGCACTTCGCAAAATCCGCGTCTGTGAGGTATACAGCGATCCACTGAGCACTGATCCGGACGGTGAAGAGATTTGTGCCCTTAGTGCAACAAGCAGGGCGTTGGTTGCCGCCCCAAACATTCCTGAATTCGGCCCCGAGAGGCCCCTGCGAGTGGATGTGTCAGGCATGCTGCCACGGCCCATGTGTGGCGCGAAAGAGGGCATGCTGAAGCAGCAGCTCTTGGCTCTTGCTGAAGCCATGGCTGTTGATGACTCGGTACGTGGGGCTCGTGGGGGATGGCATGGCTCGTGTCACGTGGGGGGTGGGGTGAATAATCAATAACCCGGCATGGCTTGTGTCACGTGGGGGGTGGGGTGAATAATCACTAACCAGGCATGGCTCGTGTTCCTTGGCTCCTCCTGATGCATTGTTGAGCAAGAGCTGCAGTGCACTGCATTGTTGAGCAAGAGCTGCAGTGCACTGCATTGTTGAGCAAGAGCTGCAGGAGGAGCCAAGGAACACAAGCCATGCCAATGAACACAAGCCATGCCAAGGAACACAAGCCATGCCAATGAACACAAGCCATGCCAAGGAACACAAGCCATGCCAATGAACACAAGCCATGCCAAGGAACACAAGCCATGCCAAGGAACACAAGCCATGCCAAGGAACACAAGCCATGCCAAGGAACACAAGCCATGCCAAGGAACACAAGCCATGCCAAGGAACACAAGCCATGCCAAGGAACACAAGCCATGCCAAGGAGCACAAGCCATGCCAAGGAGCACAAGCCATGCCAAGGAACACAAGCCATGCCAAGGAACACAAGCCATGCCAAGGAGCTGCAGCGCACTACTTCAACTCTTGTTCTCTGCCTTACTCCTTCCCGTCCCCCTCCTCATTTCATCCTCTCCCCCACCTCACTTCCTCCACAGCCTATCCCTCGCCATGCACGCTCGTGAGCTGCAACCTAACGGACGTGTAGGAGGTGTCGTCGTACCTGAAGAAGGTTGGCTACAGCCCCGACAATATTCCCTTCGTGCCCATCTCCGGTTTCGATGGTGACAACATGATTGAGCTCACTCACACACCTCTCCGCTTCCCCCACTTCCCCCTCGTTCCTCTTTCTCCCCCTCTCGGCCTCCCCCCTGTCTCTCCTGCCTCCCACCACAACCCCACCAGGTGCGGTGGCGGCAGTTCATGCGGCAGGTGCGGAGGGAGGCGGCAGCGGGGGGGGACACGCTGCAGCGCATCGCCTTCCACTCGCTGGAGGCGCTAGAGGCGCGCATGGATGGCACCGCACTCACTCGCTGGCGCTCCCCCTTGAACATCACCCTTCAGGTACTTTCCCTCCTGTCTCCTCACCTTCCCCCATCCCCACCTACCTCCCTCCCCTCTTCCCTCCCTCTCCCCCTTCGCCCCTCTCCTTTTTCCCCACATCCCCACCTCCCCACCTCCCCTCCTCCCCCCTTTCCTCCCCCCTTTCCTCCCTCCCCACATCACAACATGTACTTAGTTTTTGTTTCTTTTGGCACGTCCCCTTTCCTGTCAGGCACTGTGTGTGCTGATTTACAGTGTTTCGTGCATGCTATATGTCCCATCAATTTCACTCATGCCATGCATCCCATTTATGCCATGCATCCCATTTATGCCATGCATCCCATTTAAGCCATGCATCCCATTTGTGCCATGCGTCCCATTTATGCCATGCATCCCATTTATGCCGTGCATCCCATTTATGCCGTGCATCCCATTTATGTCATGCATCCTATGCATGCCACGTGTCCCATGTGAGCAGGATTCGGTGGCAGTGTTGGGCCACGGCGGCGAGCATGGAGTGCCGGCATTCATGCACCTCGCCAACATTGCAGCCGTGCACGAAATAGTCCGCGCATTCACCCACCAATCATGCGCACACACACACCCAAATAGTCCACACCCCCATACTCCTCCCCTCCCCCTGGCGGCCTCTTTCCCTGCCTCTGCCTCTGTCGGCCACTCCGTGCGGCGGCGGCGGCTGCACATCATAGCCATTGGACTTTACGCCGGGCCGCACTGGATCGAGATCTTCATGCGCCTCGCTGCCCACTTCTCCTCAACTGGGGGAGGTGCGGCCACAGATGCACCTGTGCCAGGCAGCAATAGCTTTACCAGCAGCAGCAGCAGTGGTAGCACGCACCCCACAACCCCCCCCACACCTCTTTCACATGCTACTCCCCCCTTCCGGCCCACGGCCCATGTGAAAATCACAGCTGTTGATTTTGGGTTCGTCAGTCTGGAGGAGTATCCCACAGGCCTGGTGCATCTGGGGGGGCAGTACCTGGAGCAGGTGGCATCTATGCTCGGCCTTTCCCTGTCGTTTCAAGGCATGGAAACCACCCCACACGACTTCCACCCGTCGCAAGTGGAGGTGGATGAAGGGGAGGAGGTGATAGTGCTGGCCAATTGGGGCCTCATGGTCTTTCCAGACGACACAGTGCTTCGCTCCAATCCCCGTAACGCAATTCTCAAGTGGATTCGCGACCTGCGCCCGCTGCTGCTCCTCCAGGTAGACGCTGATCTAGATGCCAACGGGCCCTTCTTCCTCGCGCGCTTCCACGCCGCGTTCGCCAACTTTGCGGCGCTCATCGAGTCCTTTGATGCCTCTATGCCGCACGCCGCCACGCAGCGCTTCGTAGCAGAGTCCATCCTCGCGCGGGACTTTATAAACGAGGTGGCATGCGAGGGCATGAACAGATGGCTGCGGGCGGAGCGGCTCGAGATGTGGGTGCATCGGATGAAAGCAGTGGGGCTGGAACCCGTACCTTTAGGGCCGGACACAGTGGTGGCTGGGAGGGAGGCCACGGAGGGGAGGGACAAGAGGTTCCGGCTGGAAGTGCATGGTGAGAGCGGCGCCCTGCAGCTCAGCTGGCGCGGCGTGCCCTTGATCTTCGTGGCCGCCTGGCGATGAGCCTGGAGTCGGGCTCACAAGCTGCAGCGCCTCGATGATTGTTGTGGCCGCCTGGCCCCAATGATCGTTCTCACCCGCAACTTGGCAGTGCAATGGCAAGGGCGGCATAGCCAAGCTCAGGAAGACAGGTCTTATCAAAGCAGGGTAGGTTCAGGCCAGTTCATGTCCCTGTTAACCTCCACACCCCTGCATGTCAACCTTCTTGCCCTATTTTTGCACATGTTTCTTTTGCTTAACGTTTTGCATTTGCTTGTGCGTGTCCATCGTGCCTCCATTGCTCCCTTTCCTTTTTCTTTGTAGGAACCTCCACTTGAGTGTGCTAAGACTAATCTTGCACGTATGCCATCGTAACTGTTGCTGCAGGTTTCATAGTCTGTGCTGCATGCAAGCCATCCCATGTCGAGCTGTATGATAAGCACGCAGCGATCCATCCCTCCAGCGACTTGGAAAACTCTTTAATGATGTCCTGGAACGACGTTGACCAAACATTCGACGCCGTCCCACGAATGTCAAATGGACAAGCATTTTTTTGAAGTGCTAACACCTGGTCTAGGAAGGAGGAATTGAAGTGGGAGAGAGACTGATGATTTCCTACATTTGCTGCTTCATCAGGAATGGTGTACCGTAACGTGCGTAACGAAGAAGCGTCCTTGATGGCGAATTGACACAAGGGATTCGACACCTCGGGAACTCACACCTCCAGAATTCACACCTCGGGAATTCACAAGTCGGCAATTCACACCTCGGGAACTCACACCTCGGGAATTCACTTCGTACGAGACGCAACATAAACTGCAGCTTTTCTGGACCCAATTCCTCTTCTCCACTCCATCCGCAGCTTTTTTTGGCAGGCTTCCTCGCTCCACGACTGATCACGTAGACGTAGCTTGGTTCTTTGACCTGGCGATCTTCCAAGATCCGACCACAATCACAGTTTCCGTCACGTAGACATGAGCGGCGAGCCAGTCACGGTCTTCGTCGCTGATGACCTGGCGCCAGCGGACGTTGAGCATTGGTTGTCGTTCGACGAAGCCGTTCTGCCTCCTTCGCCTTCCACTGACAACCCTCTCTTGCAGACACAAGATCTCCCGGAGTTGCCGTTTACTACATTAGATCCGTCACTCGCTTTCCTGATAGGCGATGATGCTCCTACAGGTGATGTGTACATAAGAGACAATAACACAGACTATGTTCCCATACGCGACGCTCCCGTTAACCAAGTCGAAGTTAGTCCAGAATGGCGATTGGATGAGTTACCTGGCGAGGAATCGGAGAAAGGGACTCCACTTGATTTCGATGGCGGAGTTCCCGAACGACGAACAGACGCAGGCGAGGCGTGTACGAAGGGATCCGGTGAAGCAGGTGCGATTACATCAGTCTTCGCGGATTTTATCGATACGCGGGACTCAAGCGGAGTTAGCCATAGCCGTGACTCTACCACGCCCGAAGACGGCCGAGTAGAAAGGGTTGAGTTGTTACAATCGGGGACGTGGTATGTTCCGGGGGCGGGAAACGTTTTTGCGGTCAGCAATTTGGCAGCCAGCAATCTCGCGGCCAACAATCTTGCAGCCAGTGATCTAGACACGTGCCTGCCAGAGCAGGCTGGTCCGTCCACGTGGCTTCCTAATTTACCTCGGGATGCGGAGGGGGGATCAGAACAAGGTTTCCCTGCCACATCAGCATCCGATCTGCGTGCATTGCAGCCTGACTGTTCCGGTCCGCACGTGTTGACCTTCGAAGATGCTTCGGAGAGGCTGTTCACAGCGACAGCGCCAGCGACTTTTCAGGGCGCGACGGGCAGCTGGGAGCAAGCGCAGAGGGCGCAGCTGTTGTTGCCAGAGCAGGAGGAAGCGCAGAATCAGCTGTTGACGCCTCAGCAGCAGACGCAGCAACAGCCCCAGCACCAAGGGCGAAATTACGATCCAGGAGGACAGCAGCAGCAGCAGCAGCAGCAGCAGGAAGCCCTCCAGTTAAACATACCCGCCAGCACACGCCCTCTCCCCTCCGCCATCCATGCCCGTCCCTCTTCCCCCCAACACTCCCCCCCCGCCCAGCGCCCCTCGCCCTCCCTCGGCCGTGACATAGGGGTGGGAGGGCTCAGGGGGCCTTCCGCCGAACCTCCCTCCGCTCCGCCCCCGTGCAAGCTGCCTCGGCGCCCACCGGACCTCTCCTCCCGTCTCGCCGCCGTGCTGCAAAACATCAACCCGCCTCACTCTGCGCCCTCCCCGTGGCAACCCGTTCCCCACTCGACCGAGCCGGGCCTTCCTTCCCCTGCCACGCCCGCAGCTCCCGCTGTCACTGCGTCTACCACTGCAGCTCGGCCGTTCCCCATGCCAGGATCATCCTCAGCAGTAGCTGCACCTGCAACAGCACCATCAACAACAACAGCAGCAGCAGCAACAGCAGCAGCAGTGGCAGCAGCAGCAGTAGCGGTAGCAGTAGCTTCCGCGGTGTCTTGTATAAAGGCGCCTGAGAGCAGTCTCGTGGTTGGAGGCAGTCGGGGAGACGCGAGTGGTTTCATGGGCTCAACACTGCCCTCCTCTGCTGCTCGCACCAGCAACGCTGGTGCTTATAGATGTGCCCAGGGAGTGCGGCTAGCATCCTTTTCGAGCAACAATGCACTCAGGAGAATTCGCCTCAGTGAGGCACGCATTAACCCACGGAGCCTTGCCCCTGGGAGTGCAGCGCAGAGCGTAGCAAGCAGGGCGTCCCTCCCCGTTCCCCACGTTGCTCCATTCGGCCCCGAGAGGCCCCTGCGAGTGGATGTGTCAGGCATGCTGCCACGGCCCATGTGTGGCGCGAGGGAGGGCATGCTGAAGCAGCAGCTCATGGCTCTCGCTGAAGCCATGGCCGTTGGTGACTCGGTGCGTTGGGTGGGGCTCGTGTCAAGTGGGGCTCGTGTCAAGTGGCATGGCTTGTGCTCGTTGGCTCCTGCTGATGCATTGTTGAGCAAGAGCTGCAGCACACTACTCACAGTGTTGTTCTCTGCGTTACTTCTCCCTTCCGCCCCCACCAGGTGCGGTGGCGGCAGTTCATGCGGCAGGTGCGGAGGGAGGCGGCAGCGGGGGGGGATACATTGCAGCGCATCGCCTTCCATGCCGTGGAGGCGCTGCAGGCGCGCATGGATGGCACCGCGCTCACCCGCTGGTGCACCCCCTTGAATATCACCCTTCAGGTACGTACCTTCCCCGTTCCCCACCTTCCGCACTCCCCGCCCTCCCCCCTCCCCACGTTCGCCCCTTCCGCACACACAGAAACACACAACACGTGCTCAGTGTATTTTTCTTCAGGCACGTTCCGTTTCCAGTCCGGCACTGTATGTGCTAAGCTCACTGTATTCCGTGCTTGCCACGTGTCCCAGGCATCCCATTCGTGCCTGCATCCCATTCATCTCATGCACCCCATGCATGCCACGTGTCCCATGTGAGCAGGATTCAATGGCAGTGTTGGGCCATGGCAACGAGCATGGAGTGCCGGCATTCATGCACCTCGCCAACATTGCAGAAATGCACGAAATTGTTCGTGCATTCACCCACCAACCACATGCACACCCACACCAGCATGCACAGGCACACGCACAGAGCCGGCCCACCCACAGACATGCTCCCCAGTCCCCTGCCAGCCACCCACACTCTCCACACGCCCCTTCTCCTCCCCCCCAGCCGGCCTCTTTCCCTGCCTCTGCCTCAGCCTCAACCTTTGCAAGCCAGTCGGTGCGGCGGCGGCGGCTGCACATCATAGCCATTGGACTCTACTGCGGGCCGCACTGGATCCAAATTTTCATGCGCCTTGCTGCCCACTTCTCCTCCCCGCCTCTCCTCCCGGCCGCCGCCACCACAGCCAATGGGCATCCACCAAGTGGCATCCCAGGTGGGGGACCAGGGGCAGTACCGAATGCAGCTGGTGGGGGCGTGAGCGGTGTTCAGGGCAGAACAGGGGCGTTTGGGGCAGGTATACCTGGGGGAGGTGCGGCCGCAGATGCACCTGTGACAGGCAGCAAGAGCTTTACCAGCAGCGGCAGCACAAGCGGCAGCAGTGGGAGCACGCACCCCACCACTCTTCCTACACCTCCCCCGCCCCGCTCCACAGCGCATGTGAAAATCACAGCCGTTGATTTCGGGATCATCAAAGTGGAGGAGCATCCAACGGGCCTGGTGCATCTGGGGGGGCAGTATCTGGAGAAAGTGGCATCTATGCTCGGCCTCTCCCTGTCGTTCCATGGCATAGAAACCAACCCACTTGACTTCCACCCGTCGCAAGTGGAGGTGGATGAAGGGGAGGAGGTGGTAGTGCTGGCCAATTGGGGCCTCATGGTCTTTCCAGACGACTCTGTCCTTCGCTCCAATCCCCGCAATGCCATCCTCAAGTGGATCCGCGACCTGCGCCCTCTGCTCCTCCTCCAGGTCGACATTGATTTGGATGCCAACGGCCCTTTCTTCCTCTCGCGCTTCCACGCCGCCTTTGCCAACTTTGCCGCGTTCATCGAGTCCTTTGATGCTTCCATGCCGCACTCTGCCTCGTCACGCTTTGCAGCGGAAACCATTCTGGCGCGGGATTTGATGAACGGGGTCGCATGTGAGGGCATGAACAGGTGGCTTCGGTCAGAGCGGCTCGAGAAATGGGTGCATCGGATGAGAACAGTGGGGCTGGAACCCGTACCTTTAGGGCCGGACACAGTGGCGGCTGGGAGGGAGATTACAGAGGGGAGAGACAAGAGGTTCCGGTTAGAAGTGCATGGTGAGACGGGCGCCCTGCAGCTCAGCTGGCGCGGCGTCCCGATGATCTTCGTCGCCGCCTGGAGATGAGGTTTGAGATGATCGTAAGAGCTGTGGCGTCTGGATAATCTTTATGGCCACCTGGCGATGAGCTTTGAGGCAGCCTCAAGAGTTGTGGCGTTCCGATGATCTTTGTGGCCACTTCGAGACGAGCCCGGGATTGATTCCAATGTCGCTCTAATCGGCAGTTTGGCGGGGCAAGTGCGAAGACACCATAGCAAAGAAGACTGTTCTAATAAAGCCAGGGTATGTTTCAGGTGTGTGATGTCCCTGTTGAAGCTGTGCATTTCACCCATCTTGCCCTGTGTTGCATATGTTTCTTGTGTTAAATGCTTTGCATTCGCTTCTGCCTATCCATCTTTCCTCCTTCCTGACTTTTTTTTTTCTGGAAACCCCTACTTGCTTACGCCCTTCTATTTGTTGCTGCAGGTTTCCATCATCTTTGTCATCATCCCACGACAGAGTCGTACGACAAGTAAATCATTTGCCATCCTGCCAGCAATCTCTCATTCAGGTTGACCAAACATGCGATGCACTCCCTCCCAACCCAGCTATGACAAATTTGGTCTGACATGCTGGACAACCATTTGTGTGTAGTGCAAAATCCTGGTCGAGGTCTAAGTGATAAGAAAAATAAAATATTTCCTGAGCTTGAAGCATTTTCAGGTTTATTATCTCCTATCTCCACACAGGTATTGGTTGAAAGGGGAATGTATCACCAAATGATACATTATGACACAAACTATGTGCCAAACGAAGAAAATGTTTTTGCGGGGTACTGACACCAACTTCGTTTGACCCGCCAGCGTTTCGGCGAGAATGCTTGGACCTCCCCTCGCGCACGTTACAGACTTCGCGAACGTCACATCATACCTTGATCACCCAACGAACCCCACCATTGTGGGAGATCTGGTTCTCTGGTGTATCTCGGATGTTACAGCTGTTCGGGTACGGTAACGCTGGGTCCCAGTCGGTTTCACGAACTAATCACAACCATTCCCTCAATCATCTTCCCTCCCCTCGCCTTTCAGTTTTCACCCATCATGGCGCCCAAAGCTGATCATGATGATGACGGTGAGGTGAGAGATGAGGGGATCAGAATCTACACATTCCTAAACTGAGCAGTTTTTACCTGTTCTTCCCTAGCGTGCCAACCGAGCTTCTTCCGTTACTCACGACGCTCCGCTGACATCATCGCTTATTGATCCGTCCGTTAGGACCAACGGAGCTGATTAACCTTTTAGACCTGTGTCGTTGCTCGTAACCGCCTCATCCGATCTCAGGCGACGCATTCCGTCGTTCTTCTGCTGGTCCTGATATAACCGCGGATCGTTAACTCTGCCGACGATCGCGTTCCGTGAATATTTCGTTCAGAGGATCAGAGCCTAGATTCGACTCTTGGAGTCGCCACTCAGCACGGATGGGTCGAAAGAAGAACCAGAAGGGCCGTCAACAGACCACCGCTGCTGCTGTAGCGGTGGCTCCTAACCCAACCGTCAGCTCCGCAGCTCCCCCCGCGCCTTCCGCCAGCGATCCTCCCGCCAAGGCCACCGCAGCGGATCCGCCATCCGCGCTACCGGCCGCAGGCGCGCCGTCCGGGGAAGATCTCCCGACGATCAACGTGACCTCGCCTTTCCGCGCCACCGCGAGTCGCGACTCGAGCGACTCTCACGACGCCGACGTCTTCGTCGAGCCGCCGGAGCACTTCAGCGACGGCTCGCGAACTCCGCACGATGGTAACCGCACTCCCACCTTCGAGGACGCTTCCGGCAGATTCCCTCTCGAGTCACCGATGGCGAACGGTAGCAGCGGCGGAAGCGGCGGGTTCGGCGCGCAAGTGGAGGCGGAGAAGCTGCGGAAGCAGCTGGAGGAGATGGCGCAGCGCTGCCGGGAGTTGGAGGAGGGGAAGCGCGGATCGGAGGTCGCGCGGAAGAGCGTTCAGCAGGCGAAGAACGCGCTAGAAAAGGACCTGGCGGCGGCCGCGGAGAAGACGTCGAAGGCGGAAGAGGCGGAGGCTGCGGGGAAGGCGGAACGCGCGCGCCTGGAGGGGCTGGTGACGGCGGCGGAGGGGGAAGTCGCGCGGCTGAAGGGGGAAGTAGCGGGGAAAGAAGCGGAGGTGGGGAAGTTGCTGGGAGAGATGGATCTATCGAAGAAAGAGGCAGAGGCGTTGAGAGGCGAGATGAGTGAACAGGTCAGGGCTCATGAGGAGTTGGTGCGGGCGCTGAAGCAAGAGTCGGAGGCCCTGGTGGCAGCGCGAGACGCGGCGATCAAGGAATGCGCGGAGGCCAAGGAGAAATGCGCCGACCTGTTGAAGTGAGCGCGAGCTAGGGGTTAATTGACGGATCTCTGCAGATGATCGCGGGGTTCAGGGGTTTGCCATGTCACGCGCAACATCGTTTCAACCTGTAAGGTGCCTGCTTCTTGTTTTGCGCAATCGTCACGCGATCCTCTCTCGTGCTTCTCCCTCTTCCCCTCTTTCCCCCGCTTTCACCTCCTCCCGCCTTTCTCCAGGGTTTCAGCTGAGGCGGCGGCCAGAATGGACGAGCTTTCCCGCTCCTTGCAGGCGTTGGAGCAAGACAAGCAGGGCTGGGCGGCAGACAGCGAAAAATGGGCGGCAGAGAAGTGCAGCTGGGAGGAGGAACGGGCAAGCTGGGCGGCAGAGAAGCGGAGCTGGGCGGCAGAGCGGGAGACGTGGGCGGCAGAGAAGGCATCTAAGGAAAAGGCGATTGGTGAATGGGACGAAGGGCGGAGAGAGCTGGAGCAGCGGTTGGAGGCACTCGGTGCTCAGCTGGCCGCGGCTGAGGCTGCAAGAATGGAGGCAGAAGTGGCGAGAGGAACGGCAGAAGCGGCAAAAGCAGAGGCGGAAAGGGCGAGAGCGGCGGCAGAAGCGGCAAGGGCGGATGTAGAGAAGACGCTGGAGGGGAAGAGGGGCGAGTCGGACCAGGCCACCAGGTAGGGCGAGCCGGACCAGGCCACCAGGTAGGGCGAGCCGGACCAGGCCACCAGGTAGGGCGAGCCGGACCAGGCCACCAGGTAGGGCGAGCCGGACCAGGCCACCAGGTACGGCTGTCGTATTCTTGCTGTGCTGCTGTGCAGTGCGGTGTGTGCAACCTGCTGTCCCATTGCGTGCGTGTGCATTGCCTGACCCATCTCTCTTCTCCCCCCCCCATACACCCCCCTTATTGTTCCCTCTTTGAGCGTCAGAGTCGCAGCCATGGCAGCGGCCCGCCTGGCGGAGGTGCAGCAGAGCCGCACCTCGCCCTCGTGTGCCCCCCCCCAAACTTCTCCGTATCATCTGCTGAAACGCACCCCTTTTCTGCCCTACTCCCCACCTGCTCTCCCCCCGCCCCTCCCCACCTCCCAATGTGTCTGTGTGCCTCTCCGCTTGTGCCTCAGTGTGGCAGCCAAGGCAGCGGCCCACCTGGCGGAGGTGCAGCAGAGTGTCACCGTCGTGTGCACCCCCCTCCCTCATTGCATTGCCCTGTCTTCCTGCTGCCGTCCCCGTCTCCCTGTGTTTGTGCGCTCTCAGGGTGGCGGCCAAGGCAGCAGCGCACCTGGCGGAGCTGCAGCAGAGCCTCACGCAGACGCAGGTGGAGCTGGTGCAGGCGCACTCCGCGCTACAAGACAAGGACGCCCAGTTGACGGGCAAGGACGAGCAGGTGCAGGCTCTGACAGACCAGATAAAGGCGCTGGAACAGCGCGTGAAGGGTGCGGAAGAGGAGAAGAATACACACGCGGAGGAGGCGAGGAGGAAGGAGGAGGAGGCAAGGGAGGCGAGGCGAGAGGTTGAAGCTGTGAAAGGGGAGCTGCAGGGGGGGTTGAAGGCTGCAGCGCAGCAGCTTGCCCAGGCGAAGAAGGAGGCGGGTGCGGGTGGGGAGAGTGGGGAGAGTGCAGGGAGCAGGGTGGGGGAGCTGGAGGCGAGGGTGGAGGCTCTGCTGGGGGAGGTGGCATCTGCGGTGCAGGCGCGGGCGGAGGTGGAGGGGAAGCTGGCGAGTGGCAGCCGGGAGAACGCCAGGCTGGCAGAGTGAGTGGGCTGCTCTGTGTGCTGTGCGCTGTGCGCTGCTCTGTGTGCTTTACTGTTAAGCTGCCTAGCAAGATATTTTTTTTCGTAACGTGCCACCCTTTCTCTCCCACACCCTACCCATTCCACCACCCACCACCCAAATCTCTGCTGCCGTACCAACCCCCTCTGTCCCTTCCTCTCCCACACCTACCCGTTCCACCAAACACCACCCCACGCAGGTTGGCGGCAACCAAGGAAGCAGAGGCCAAGACCATGTTTCTCCAGCTGGGGCAGGTGAAGCGGGATAACGCCTCCCTCATACCTCCTCTTATCACCTTCCCAATGCCCCACTTCCCTCACAGGCTGGCAGCAACCAAGGAGGCAGAGGCAAAGAGGGGCAGGTGAAGCAGGATAACGCCACTCGCCCTTCCTCTCAACCCACTCCCACCTCCCTTCTTCCCTTCCCCCCACCACCCCCTCACAGGCTGGCGGCAACCAAGGAAGCAGAGGCCAAGACCATGTTTCTCCAGCTGGGGCAGGTGAAGCGGGATAACGCCTCCCTCAGTAGCGACCTGGCAGCCGCTACAGACAAGATCCAGGAGCTAGTGGCCAAGAACCGGCGCATGGACAAGGACGTGGTAACCGCCGCGGCCGAGGCGGCGTTACGCGAGCAGGAGGGGGGAGGTGGGATTGGGGGAGGGTGGAGCTCTGTGACCCTGGTGACTGTGGGTGTGGGGGCGGCGGCTGTGGGGGGGTTTGCCGTACTACGACTCATGGGACCTCGTCCATGAGTCTGGGGAGAGTGTGAGAGGAGGGAGGTTGGGGAGGTGGGGGAGGTGGGAGTGGGGGAGGGTGGAGCTCTGTGACGCTGGTGACAGTGGGTGTGGGGGCGGCGGCTGTTGGGGGTTTTGCTGCCTTGCGACTCATGGGACCGCGTGTGTGGGAATCGGAAGTGCATGAGAGGGGGAAGGTGAGGGAGGTGGGGAACGTAGGGGAGGTGGGAATGGGGGAGGGTGGAGCTCTGTGGCAGTGGTGTCGATGGGTGTGGGGGCTGCGGCTGTGATGTGTTTGCTGCCTTGCGACTCATGGGACCTTGTGCGTGAGAGGGGAAGGATGGGTGGGAGAGTTAAGGTGCGTGAGAGGGAGCGTGTGAGAAGGGGGGGGTGAGTGAGAGGTAGAAGGTGAGAGTGGGAGGGGTGTGACTGACTGAACACTTGCTTCAGATGCGCATGAGAGCTGAGCCGTTCATTCTTCAATCTTTTTACCATACTACACAGAGGGGTTAGGACTAATGTCATCTGGTGTACGATTTTGTCAGTTTTGCCAGTGTCATTTCTTGATATTCCTTCGCCTGATTTTGCATGTTTTAACTAATCCATTCTTCTGAGTGAGACTTCTTAATGCCTTCCACTGTACGATTCATTCATTGTATAACACCCTGCTTCGACTTATCCCGCCTTATTCAGCAACACAATGTGATGTGCAGTGCATTACAACGTTAGCAGGCACCTGCAGCAGAAAAGTTACACCATCATCTACACTGTACAACTTACTCACCAAGTATACTACTTTACCTACACCTCTATAGCGACGCACTTGGTAACGGTCCAGTAATTCTCTGCCACGGGGCGGTAACCCTTGGCACAGGCACAGCGGTAACCCAGAGGGGAGAGGAAGTTGGGTTGGCAGATGCTGCTGGGAGGACACTTGGGGTTGGCTGGACACGGCTTGCGCACCAGCTTATTTGTCACTGTGTGTGTGGGGGGGGGTGTTGGGGTGGATGGTTTGGGACGAGAAAAGCGAGGAGATTGGGTGTGAGAAACAGCAGGCTGGATCTGGTAGGTAGACACTTCCTGCTGTTCCAGGGACACTTGGGGTTGGGGGGACAGGGCTTGCTCATGCGAGGTGAATGGGGAAGAGGAAGGGACGCTGTGAGTTGGGAGGCAGAACGGAGAGACAAGACCCCGATGGGGTGGGATTTACAGGGCATTGATGCAGAAAGGGCACTTGGCAGAGGAGACGAGGCCAGCACTTACGATTAATAGTGTGTGGCAGAGGGAACTTTGAAAGGGAACCGTCTTCAAAGGGAACTTCCTCTCGAAAGGGAAACATCCTCTCAAAAGGGGAACTTCCGCTCAAAAGGGGAACTTCCGCTCAAAAGGGAAACTTCCCCTCAATAGGGAAACTTCCTCTCAAAAAGGGGAACTTCGCTCAACACACAATCATCCCCTCCCACCGCTTCCTCAAGAGGGACCTTCCTCCCAAACCTCGCCCCCACACCTTTCACGCAGTACTGGTTGTCGGCCATGGCAGCAGCAGCACCCTTCTGGCACTGGCACTCAGCATCCACCACCGCGCTGTCGTTCTTGCGCAGACTGGCCGGCACACACGCCCCTTCAGCACTTACCCATCAACACTCAACCTCCAACGTTCTCCTCACCTTTCACGCAGTATTGGTTGTCAGCCGTGGCAGCAGCACCCTTCTGGCACTGGCATGCAGCATACACCACCGCGCTGTTGTTCTTTCGCAGGCTGGCCGGCACACACGCCCCCCGCCGCCCGCACGTGCCCAGGCGACTCGCCGCCCGGCAGAAGGTCCAGCAGGTGCTTGCGCTGCGCTGGGGCGGCTTCTTTCCACACGCCTTCTTGTCCCACCTGCGGTTAGAGCGGGGGTGAGGGGCGATGGGAGGGGCGATGGGGTAGGATGAGGGAGATGGGGTGGGAGGAGGGGGATGGAAAGCAGGTATGTGGCCTCACAGGCCCCAGCACTGCGCTGAGGTGACTTGTTGCCACACGCCTTCTTGTCCCACCTGGGTGTGGCAGGGTTGTGATGTGATGGGGGAATGCAGCGATGGAGAGTGGAAAGTCGGAAGGCGCAGCAAGAGGTAGCAATGCACGCCGTGCAGCATGACTCCACCAATGAGCTCCCTCATGCGTCTCCAATGAACAGGAGCAGGAACAGAAACAGAAACAGGAACAGGAACAGGATCAGGAACGTGATCAGGATTCAGGAACCCACAGGAACAGGCCTGACACACGCACCACTTGAGGCGAAGGCAGTTGTTATCAACGTCGGACTCGGAAGGGCAGATGGAGGTGCCGTTCCTGGCCTTGTACGACACCTCGCCCACAAAGTAATTCGACGCCAGGCTGTGGTATGGCAGGGCCAGGTAGCGTGGAGGGATGGTGCCGCTGAGGTAGTTGGAGCGCACGTTGCTGTGTGGGTGGGGTGGGATGGGAGAGGATGCGGACGGGTGAAGAGGGATAAAGTGAGTTGGAGACCTCGCCCACGAAGTAGTTGATGACAGGCTGTGGTATGGCAGCACCAGGTAGGGTGGAGGGATGGTGCTGCTGAGATAGTTGGAGCGCACGTTGCTGTGGGTGAAGGGGGGGAGAGATGGATGGGGGAGGCGGTTGGGAGGTACGAGGCGTTTGAGTTGTGGGGAAAGAAGTGCAGTGCATGGTGATTACGTTTCAGTGTTGTTCATTGTGAACAAAGGGGGGGGTACGAGGGTTGTACACATTGCTCATGCATCACATCACTCACACGGGGTGTCCTTTGTTCATTGTGCAGTGCCGATGCATGCACCACTCACATGTCAGCATGACTCACATGTCGGTGAGCAGCTTGAGGCGATCGATGTTGGGGAGAGTCCCGGACAGGTAGTTGCTCTCGAGGTTGCTGTGCCGCCATGCCACACACCACACAACACACACACGAGTTAGCAAGTTATTTCGGATTACCAAATCTGGCAGAGGGAGCAGAGGAAGCAGAGGGAGCAGAGGGAGCAGCGTTGCCACGTGTCTATTTGGCCTCACGGGTAAAATTGTTCCTCACTGCTCGACCCACCGGCGATGTGTTACCATGATGCTGAAACGCTCAGGATGCTCAGAATGATCCGAGACGTCTAACATCCCTGAAATATTCCGCACAAATGTGTTTTTTCTCACATGCTCTTTGCTGCTCTCTCTGGTTAGAGTTTTACTCGTATGCCCTCTCTCACGTGCTCTCTCACATGCTCTCCCCCTCACATGCTCTCCCTCACATGCTCTCTCCCTCACATGCTCTCCCCCTCACATGCTCTCCCCCTCACATGCTCTCCCCCTCACATGCTCTCCCCCTCACATGCTCTCCCCCTCACATGCTCTCCCCCTCACATGCTCTCCCCCTCACATGCTCTCCCCCTCACATTCTCTCCCCCTCACATGCTCTCCCCCTCACATGCTCTCCCCCTCACATGCTCTCCCCCTCACATGCTCTCCCCCTCACATTCTCTCCCCCTCACATGCTCTGGATGTTGGCCAGGCGGGTCAGCTGCTCTGGGATGCTTCCACTCAGCTTGTTGTAGTTCAGCGACCTGCCGTGGTGACGTGGCAATGGGCCGGTGACGTGGCATTGGGATGATGACGTGGCAACGGCCATGTGTGGAAAGGAACGGAAAGAGCCAGGAAAATGCTGGATGATCAATGGAATGCAACAGAAAGCGGTGTGCGTTGCAACGTTATGAAGACCAGTAAGTGGCACAGCAGAGCAACGTGGGGGATGTAGCATGAAGAGTGGATAGAAAACAATGCAGGAGAAGGAGGGAAGGTAGGGAGGGGGAAGGGATGGAGGCTGACAGGTAGGTGAGTTGGGAGAGGGATGCGAGGGCTGCGGGGATGGACCCTGTCAGCCAGTTGTAGCGCAGGCCCCTGCATGGGGGGGAGGGGGGTAGGGGGTAAGGGGGTACAGGGAGGAGGATTTGAGTGTGAGATTGGCATGGCTCAACGACTGGGGGAGCTGTGAATGTTGATAGTCTCTCGTTGGGTGGCGGATGTGTGTGTTTGACCCGTGGACCCCAGGTTGACCACGTTGATTCACAGGAACTGCAGGTTGACTCGCATTGACTGCATTGACTCGCAGATACTGCAGGTTGACTGGCGTTGACTCACAGGAACTGCAGGCTCTTGAGACGCGAGAGCTCCTTGGGAATTTTCCCCGAGAACATGTTGTTGCTCAGCCGGCTGGCACACATGGGAAAGGATTCATGGGAAGAGAGGGGGAGAGCTGGGGTAACGGAGTGAGAGGCCCGTGTGGAAAATATAATACTTTCTATCTCTCATGCATACAGGGGAAGGGAACAGCAGGTAGATTGGTGGGCATTCCGGTGCAAATGATGAGTGAATTGTGACTCGAATGACTGCCTGAATGCAGCATTCGGAAGGGAGGGCGAGGTGCAGAGGACAGGGAACCAGGGGACTCTCACAGGTAGGAGAGGGAGAGGAAGCTTCCGATGTATGCAGGGATGCTGCCCCCAAAGGCATTGTCGTTCATGTACCTGCAACAGAATGGGGACGGGACAGGAGTGGTAGAGTTGGCAGTGGGAGAAAATAAGGGGACTAAAAATTTGAGACTTGACTAGTTAGGGTTTGAAACTCCTAATATGATGGAATGTAGTGAAGAATCAGCGGCATCGTTACAGTCACATCCGCACAGCCACTCTTAATGTGACTGTCTCAGTCACACCCATGCGTTCCCACGCACACTCACATTGTCACACCGACAAACTCACACTCTAAGTCACAGTCAAAGTTTCCTCTCTCACACCAAGAAGGAGAAACTCACAGTTCCCGAAGGTTGGTGAGAGAGGAGAAGGAGGGGGGCAGTTTGCCACCCAGAGCATCTCCACCGTGCGACAACACTCTGCCGTGATTGGTGGACAGGGAAGGGGAAGGGGGGAAAGGGGGGAAGGGAGGGAGGGAGGACATGGAGAGTGGTAGCAGCCCTAGGGAAACCCAAAAACGTTCCTGCTTTGAGTTTGGACCCTTGGGTTGACTGACTTAGGTTGACTTGGGTTAACTCGGGTTCACCTTGGTTGACCTGGGTTGACCTGGGTTGGTTGACTTGGTTTGACTCACAGCTTCTTGAGGTTCTTCAGGTTCCCAAAGCCTGGTGGGAGAGACCCGCTGAAGTCGTTGAACCCAAGGTCCCTGTAACGAGGATGGGGAGGCACGGAAAATAGAGGCGGTTGAGAGGGGTTGGGGATATTATACACGAACCAGTGAGCAAGGCAAGGCAGGGTAGGGCAAGGTAAGGACGAAGGGCAGGGCAGGTGAGGCAGAGGGGAGGAGGGGAGAGAAGCACAGCAGCAGACCAGGTTAGCAGGAGATTAATCACATCACCCGCTCCCATGCAATGCAACCAGGAGGGGTGAGAGCAGTTGGGCTTACAGGTGACTTTTGAGTCGACTCAAAAGTCACCTGAGAGCAGTTGGGCCTACAGGTGGGTAAGGGCGGTTAGGGCGGTGACCAAGGGTGGGATTGGAGTAGAAAGATAGTTCTGATTCAGGTTCCTGCCAGGGCGGGAGATGCAGAGGGATGGAGAGAGATGGAGAGAGATGGAGAGAGATGGAGAGATGCATAGAACCCGCCTGTAGGTGGAATAGGGCAGGAATTGTACCTAGGGGATTGTTCTACCGTTCTGGAGCCCCTTCTTGAGCTCTAGGGGACTTAGCAGGAAGGTTAGTCTAGGCTTCTTTGCATGTTAGTACTTTGCTGTTTTCCATTGCATGCTTGTACCCTCCTGGTTTATCGATATACGGACCATTAGAGAGAGATGGAGACAGATGCAGGGAGATGCAGAGATGGTCCAATCCTAAGTCAGGTGGGTTAGAGCAGCAGGAGCCTCAATTCGCATCCATGCAGAGCCTCAATTCGCATCCATGCAGAGCCTCAATTCGCATCCATGCAGAGCCTCAATTCGCATCCATGCAGAGCCTCAATTCGCATCCATGCAGAGCCTCAATTCGCATCCAGGCGAGCTGCCCAGCGTTCTGATTTGAGCAGCAGCACAGCACACATGCCAAACGCACAACACGGAACGAGGGCGCCTATAACGCGTACAAGGGAAGGGAGTGTGTGCCTCACAGGTGCTTGAGCAAGCCCAGGTTGCCGAGTGCGTTGGGTGCCTTTTCGATGTCCAATGCCTCTAGATTGCTGCAGCGCCATGGTGGGAGGGAGACGAGGAGGGGGGAGAAGGAAAGAAGAGGGATCTATGTTTGAAGCCGCCCCATGCATTGCTGAGTGCGTTGGGTTCCAGTTTCGATGGCTAGCGTTTGTAAATTGCTGCCGCGCCAGGGGAGACGAGGAGGGAAGAGGGGGAGGAAGAGGAAGCTTTGGTGTGGCACAGTGCCGAAAAGGATCGGGAGAGGAAGAATGCTACGATGGGGAAGAGGCATGCGGGTGTGACAGGTGAGCTGGAGTGGTGTGGCGTACTGCAATGCACGGGTGGTGGGGTCGGGTAAGGGATGCAGTGAGAGGGGAGAGGGGATGGGAGGGTAAAGGTGAACGTCCTGGTAGATGACTCTGAGAGGGTAAAGGAGGGGTGCGGCGAGAAGAGTCGCGGGGGTAAGTCAAGGGGTACTAAGAAGCAAGAAGTGCGTATTACAGGTAGACGAGGTTGGTGAGGGGCGCGAGGGGAGCCACGTCCTTGATGGGGTTCTGACTCATGTCGCTGGCATGAGGTGCGGAGTGGGGGGGATTGGGGGGGATTGGGGGGGATTGGGGGGGATTGCGGTGGATTGGGGAATGGGGGAAGTTTGTGGATGGGGGGGAGGAGGGGTGGGGTGGATGGGAGGGATCGGGTAATGGGGGAGATTGGAGAGACGAACGGTATGGATGGTGGAGTCTTTCGGCGAAATTGCACCGCAGAGGGACAAGAAATGGCTTGCGATGATTGATCGTGGAGTGAGCATTGACTCGCGTTGACTCACAGCAAGGCGAGCGCGGTGAGGGCGCTGACTCCCTTGATCGTGCCGTTGATGTTGGTGTTGCTCACGTTCCTGCGCACACCAGCACGCACCAGCACGCACCAGCACGCACCGCCACACACCATCACGCACGCATGTGTTGCCACACGGTCATGCACAGCCACGAACAAACAGGACCTTCCGTAAGCTTGCATAGTTCCCGCCGTTGCTTTACGCTGCAATCCAACCATCCTTCTGATACTACACGCGCTCTAATCTGCGTTTCATGTCAGAGTACGTACAGTCCGATGATGATACCCTTGTCGTTGCAGATGATCCCGGGGTACGCCATGCAGCGCTTCGGCGGCTGCTTCGACGACCACGCGCGCGAGTAGTTGAACCCGCGGCCCCACTCCTTGGCCAGCGCTCGCAGCACCGCCACTGCGCGCACAAGCACGCGTAGACACAATCTTGAGCCGATTTCTGGGACGAATATTGAGACGAGTTTCTTCAGGCGTGCGTTACAAGCACGAGTAGGTGGTGGTAAGAACCGTAACAAACGGGTGGCAAGTGGGTGATAATCCCGTTACAAGCGTGTGGTGATTTTCTTCAAGACATCTCGTAATGAACTGAGGAGCTTCCAGCCGTATGGCAAGAACGGTGCGAGTTCTTGCGTGCGCTGCGAGTGCGTGAATACGCTGCGAGTGTGCAAAGCGCAAACCGGGAGGGGAATGGGTGCGCACATTGGGAGGAGTCGATGACGGTGTCGCGGTTGATGCCGGCTCGAACCACCGGCGGCGACAGCAGCGCCGCGGCCGCCACCCACGCGACCACGAGCACGAGCAGGCGTGGGGGGATACCGCACAGTGCCATGACGGAGTGACGCAATATGAAATTCGGGAATTTGAGTCGCGAAGGGAAGGCTTGCAGACTCCTATAGATATAGGTGTATAGACTCTTTTTGACGGCGGATCGGAGACCCTGTGTCCTTCAGTGTAGCGACTAACAGCGAAAGTGACTATAACACGAGCTCGAGACGGACAAGATTACGAGGCCAATAACTTGGAAGCATTGGGCGGGTGATGCTCTCGGGTCGCGCCTCGGAGAAACTGTGGGACGGGCAAGCTTCTAAGCGAGCAGCGCTTATCCGAGCAGACTAACGTTATTCAACGAAGCGCGTTTGACGCGTGTGAGGTAGCTTCTACACTCTTTGCAATGGCAGCAGATCGGAGCTGAGCAAACCGTCCCGCGTGCATTAGCTATTGAACCATTAGGCGCAAGATCGGGATATCTAACTTGCAAGGCTGCACTCCGCTGACGTGCTCTGAGAAGTGCGCTTCGACCGATAATATTTATCTGCTCACAAGGCACTTAGCATGACGGGCGAGAGATAAAACCCTAACGAGGCTACCTCAAGAACGCCGCAAGCGCAGTGACGGCTACGAAAAAGCTCTGCTGGAGCGGGTCGTGCGTCGTTGACGGCGGACGTTGCGGCGAGCGAGAAAAGCGAACGGCTCGAGCCTTTTCTGTAAGCGGACACACGTACGAAGCATCGGCGAGGCTACGATGACTGCTATCGGGCGAGAAATGCCAGGCAAACTGATCTATGCTACTCTAGTTCGTGCTTGTTCCAGCAAGATAGCCGCACTCATGCTAATCCATGCAGCAAGAAACGCATCACCCTCCTCCTCTGCAAGAAGCTCCATCCCAGCTGCTGCTGCGGAGTGGAAAGCTGTGCTGAGTTGGTCGAAGTCTCAATCCAAATCAACGTTTTTCTCCCGCCACCGAGTCGCGAGTCGCCATGTGAAATTGAATGTGAGCGCGGTGAACGGATCGCGTCTGTTTTACCGCCAAGTCTGCTCCTTTGACCAAGTAGCACGATATGATGCCAAGGGGTGGGGGGGGAGTCGAAACTCGGGGACGACGCGGATTGGGGGAATTTCTCCAAGCCAGGAATGCCGCCGGCGCAGCTGGCGTTGACGGCTGCAGTTACGAATTTCAGTCGGGGAAAAGGCCATTGTAAGGGCGTGTGAGGTCTTTGAAATTTGTAAAAGTTTATGTTTTTAGGGCTAATTTTAGTTAGAACTTACAACGAAAGAAGTTCGAATTTCCTTGTATCTAAGTTCGAACATCGGGCTTACCACACTGTAAAAAATCACACACACATACAAGGTCGAACCCCGACATTCGAACTTGTAAAAACGAGCCGAGCCGCACATCAACATCATAGGTTACCCGGTTCGAGAGTCTTGACAGTGCGCCACGTCAACATTTTGCGCCTCGGTTTACAAGGACCTAGAGCTCCAACTCACCTTCCGCGCCGAGCGTTTAACCAGGGTACAAATAAGCCCCCGTGGCAACACCTTGTATACTCGTCATTCGCCCAACATGACACGTTGCCACATCGTGCTCGAACATGCCACGATGCTGGACACGTGGCTACCACTGTGTGCACGAATTGTGGGGTGACTTCGTTGTGCAACTTCATGCATTGGCGAAGCGCTCGCCCGTTTCGCCAGCTGTTCGGACGTGCTGCAAATCCACACACGCTCGTATGAACGTGCGCACGCACGTTCCCGCCTCCGACTCGAGTCAAGTTCATATTTCAAACTCGAACTTTTGCAGAGCCCTACCAATGCTTGGTTCGCGAAGCACCCTTCGCGAAATTAGCGAAAAGGGTAACCACCCAAAGGTTCGAACTTTATTTTGAAACTTCTACAAAGACCTCACACGCCCTAAGGAATTTTCTCGGCATTCCTTACGGAGCCCGACTACATCTCGCACTGCTTCACCAAACCTCTCACTGCTGGCCTGGCCGTGTCGGCCTACGCTTCGGGACTAGCCCGAGCCTCGCTCCAAGCGTAGCACTAGCTAGCTCGCACGCACCGCGTTACCGTTTGCATGTTTCGCATATAAATGTTCGCTCATGCCTTCGCTCACATTTTGTACTCGTTTTGACACCTTAGTGCAATTCTCGCTACTTCTTCGATTCATTGCACCCGTAACAGCCATACACATTCATCAATTTAGGAAAACATTTATATCATACAATACATGCTAAACAATCCTGATCCTACTCACCTCCCTACAACTACATTCTCATCAAAATCATTATCTACATGAATCAAATCCGGTCTACTTGTGCCACTGTCCTTGGTCCTAACAGAACCTAGGTGTTGAAACAGGAAGGCACGTGGACGTACCCCTGATGCCTGACACATTCAGGTACTTCTCACGAGAAGATCCATGTTTGTCTCCATCAAGTGCTCCTCCATGTACTGCAGCATACCTTCCAACGCAGTTCACGTGAAAAAGGAGTGCCTGGGCACAGCATGGCACAGAATACTCATCCCCATGCTGGTG